CTCCCGATGCCCAGGGGATGGGGCAGGCTCAGGGGTCTTCATCTCCCCCACCCCCCGTGTCCTACAAACGCCCCAGTTTACCTGAGCTGTCTTGAGGCAGAGGCCCAACTAAGACTCAAGAAATCACAAGATAGACAGGGAATAGCCATAATCCTTTAACTTTTGCTTCATATTTTATGCTTTCAACACCTTTATGTGGCCAGGTGTGGTGGTGTCCACTTGTCATCTAGCACTTGGGGTGCTGAGGTACTGAGAACTCTAGGCCAGCCTGGGATACATAGCAAGACCCAGGCTCCAAAAACTAAATGAAGAAGGGAGGCAGCTGAGCGCTGGGGATTCATGCCGTAATCCTGGCTACTCAGGAAGCTGAGATCTGAGGATCGTGGTTCAAAGCCAGCCCCGGTAGATAAGTCCATGAGACTCATATCTCCAATTAACCACTAGAAAACCAGAAGTGGTGCTGTGGCTCAAGGGGTAGAGCGCTTGCCTTGAGCTAAAGATCTCAAGGACAACACCCAGACCCAGAGCTCAGAACAGCACATCCCTTGATCCTACCAGCACTGATCGTCAGGGGAACAGGACAGGCAGAGCGTTCTCTTTGTGGATCATGGAAATCAGGGCCAAGAAGTTGAATGGGCCTTCATAGTCACTGCTGCCACCAGCGGGGTGGGGCCGAGGTTTTCCCTGTGTGGGGCTGAGGGCTCCCCCTTGTCTTTTTTCAGTGGCCTGGGGAGAGCACTGACCAGGCTCAGTGCATTTCAGCCACAGAGGTCTGCGCAGGGTGCAGTGCGCAGACCCCGGACAGCTGCGCAGTGCTGTTGAAGGGCGTCTGTGCCCCTGAGGTGTTGATGGACTGTGCTGGGCCAAGCTAAAGGGGTTGGGGAGAGGGCCCTGGGGACCTGTGTGTCAGAATCACCTGGAGGCGGGGGCGGCCCCACGTGAGGCTCTGCATTGGAGATGGCTGCCCCTGGATTGGGTGGGTGTGTCTTGGTTGGACCTTCAGTGTCCGCAGATTAAAAAAGATGGCCTCCTAGAGATCCCGCTGCAGTTATGGTGACCCGAGGCTGCAGCCTGCCCCTTGCCCCGGGCCCTTGTGGGTGAGCTGTCACCATGGTGCATGGGCATGAGGGCGCATGCAGGCCGATTGCTCGGTCCGAGTGGGCAGCTCGGCAGAGGCTGTGCGGACAGTTCGTGTGTGTGCTGGAGCAGGGGAGGCTGCCCAGCTCTCTCGCCATCCCATGGGCCGAGCTGATCTCACCCCAGGGCTCGGTGCCATCCCGTTGCCAGCATGGCTGCTGCCCGGGACAGTGCTATCGCCTTGCCTTGTTAGGGGCCACTTGCCGGCCACGGTGGGGGTTTGGTTTTGCCCGGAGCATTCCTCACTAAGGCACGGCGGCACTGAGCCTGGGTGGTCAGGTGGCCGCAGGCAACGCCTTAGGCTTCCAGCCCAGCAACGAGGGGTCCTGCTTCCCTGGCTTCAGTCCGGCCAGCCTCCCTCCAGCTCTCTGGCTATGACTGAGGCCAGGGGAGCAGGTGCTGGAGAAGGGAGGGGGAGGGGTGGAGGTGAGGCGGGGGGCTGTGGAGCTGTGCTCCTGGGTGCCCAGTCATGTTGCCTTTGTCTCCACAGTTCAGCCAGGCCCTGGCCATCCGGAGCTACACCAAGTTCGTGATGGGGGTGAGTCGGACCAGCTGCCCTGCCCTGCGGGCTGGGGTGGGCTAGGAGGCCCCCTCTCTTGGGGCTGGACATGTCTTTGCCTCATTATTGGTGGGCCTGCGTGGGGGCCCTGGCGCTCAGGCTGTGTCTTTTAGATCGCAGTGAGCATGCTGACCTACCCCTTCCTGCTCGTTGGAGACCTCATGGCTGTGAACAACTGTGGGTATGTGTGCACCCCTCTATTTGGTTCTGCTCAGGCTGCTGGGGATGCACGCTCTGCTGGGTACAGCTGGGAGTGATCTCAGCCTCCAGCCCCCAAGGGGGGTCTGGTTCGAGGATGTGGGCAGGCGGCAGCCGGGAGCCAGCGCATGAGCCCCTGCCTGTTGGCTCACACACACTTTCCCCCGCAGGCTGCAGGCTGGCCTTCCCCCATACTCTCCGGTGTTCAAATCCTGGATTCACTGCTGGAAGTACCTGAGCACACAGGTGAGCGAGCTCCAGCAGAAGAGGCTCTTGCTGTTCTTGGTCACATGAGTCCAATGACCTGATTGGGAGGGGGGAATGAGGGGAATGACATTGGGGCGGGTAAGGGATGCAGGGCCCTGAGAAACGAATGCTGCAAATCAGGCGGATAAAGAGTCCACGTACTTGGTTTAAAGCATTTTAAGTTTCCACTTGCCACATTTCTTTTTTTCTTTTTGTCAGTCATGGGACTTGAACTCAGGGCTTGGGTCCTGACCCTGAGCTGTTCTGGACTACAGCACAACTTCCAGTTTTCTAGTTGTTAATTGCAAATAAGTCTCACGAACTTTCCTGCCCAGGCTGATTTTGAACTGCAATCCTCAGATCTCAGCCTCCTGAGTAGCTAGAATGACAGCCACCAGTGCCCAGCTACTTGCCATATTTCCGAAGAATTTGAGGTGGCCCAGTCTGGACTTCCTTAAAAATTACCCATCAGACCCAATTCCTGGCACTGAAAAATCTACATGTCAGAGGTGCAGTGGTACACACCTGTAGTCCCAGCAACTCCAGGGGCTAAGGCAGGAGGATCCCATGAGCCCGGTGCAGGGCCAGCCTGTGCAATGCAGTGAGATCCACACCTTTAGTATTAATAAAGTGAGTAGGAAAAATTATTCACATGACTAAGGCTCAGCTGGGCGTTGGTGGCTCACGCCTGTAATCCTAGCTACTCAGGAGGCTGAGATCTGAGGATGGTGGTTCAAAGCCAGCCTGGGCAGGAAAGTCTGTGAGACTCTTGTCTCCAATAAACCACTAGAAAACCAGAAGTAGCGCTATGGCTACGTAGTAGAGTGCTCTGGAAGAGCTGAGAGACAGTGCCCAGGCCCAGAGTTCAAGCCCCATGACCGACAAAAGAAAAACTAAGGCTCCGTTTCCTAAGGTGGGCTTTGACACCGTCCCACTGCGGTCCTGACTTGTCAGGAAGACCATCGGGCCATTCTGTAGGGTCCCCTGAGCTCAGCAGGCCTGGTTTTGCCAGGCCAGGTGGGGTGTCTGGAATGGAGCAGCCTCAAGTTCTAGTTTGCCCTGAAGCTGTGGGGCCCGTTGGTCAGGGACCAGGCTTCTGGTCCTTCATCTGTTCCTTGCTTTGCTTTATGCTGAGTGGCCTCTGGGTTAGGAGGAGGCCAGATGGACGAAGGGACTAAGGAAGACACAGACAAAGCTCTTCCCAGCATCTGGTCGGACCCCGAAGCCAGCAAGCCTCCTGGGTGGCCCACACATGTGTGCTCCCTTTGCTTCCCCTTGCCCTTCCTTGTTCCTCTCCTGATCCTGGTCTCTGAGCTCCTGCCACTTGTCCTGTGGGAGGGACGAGGAAGCATGGTTTCCTCACCGACATCTGTCCCTTCCTATCCAGGGTCAGCTCTTCCGGGGCTCCAGCCTGCTTTTCCGCCGGGTGTCGTCAGGATCGTGCTTCGCCCTGGAGTAACCTGAATCAAATCGCCTGCCCAGACTCCCAGTCTCAGCGGGCTCTGGGGAAGTCCACTCATCTCGGGCACCTGCAGGGACACTCCAACCCAGCAACACCTTCATGTGCTCCAGCCCGGCTGGGCTTCAGTTTCCATATTGCCATGTGTCTGTCCAGGTGTGGGGCTGGGGGGGCGGGTGGGGGAGTTGCGTGCAGTGGAGGGGTCACCAGTTAGCCCTGGGAAGGTAGAGAGGGACTGGTTTATATTTGCAGCGCTGGGATAGACTGGTAGCAGAACCCAGGGCCTTGCACGTGCCAGGAAAGTGCTCTGCCATTGACTCCTCTAGCCCTAGGGGTGAAGAATTGGGGTGCACTCCTCTTCCCAGGTTTGCTGAGTCTCTCATGTAAGGGCTCCAGGGTGAGGAATAGCCGTTGGGGTCAGGTCTCACCCCACCCCCCCCAGGCTGCGCAGCCCTCATCTGTGGCTTGGCTGGGAGCCCCTCCTCCTCCTGCTTTGTAAATAGGGCTCGCTCCCCCATCAGAGGCCGCCATCCCGACTAGAAAGCCCACTCCGGGTTCTGCCTGGTTTTCGCAACACTACTTCCTGACACGGGGGCACTACCTCCGAATGGAAATCATGTGACTCCTCTGAATGTGACCTCCTTCCGCCTGTCTGTTTAATGGTGACGCCGCACATGCAGGGTCTGGTTTCCTGAGCACTTGTGAATCGCAGAAGTTAGGCAGATCGGTGTCTGTAACTCCTGCCCCTTCTAAAGCCCATGGTAAGATCTGACCCCCATCTCCCTCGAATAAATGTACTGGTGGTGATTTGGAGTCTTGTGGGGACTCTCATCCTTGTGGGCGGGGTCTTAGTCACACACCCCCCTCACGTGGGTGTGGCACTGGGTTGGAAGGCCGTGGGGCTTTGAGCTGAGAGGTGGGAGGTGGGGGAGGACCCGTGGGGCCAAAGCGCCCTCTCACGGAGCCGTCAGAATATCCACGCAGACCAGCATCTGGCCTGGCCTGACCCCGCTGTCCCTCCCCCAACACACTGGGCCTTTCCTGGCACACAGCTCTGCTCTATAATCCCGCTCTGTACCTGGGGCCCAAGGCCTTTCTTGGGACTCCTCGGAGCTCAGGCGCTGGCATGGCCCATGCAAGGCACATTTCTCATCTGTGTCCTAGATGGCCCTGGGCAGCACCCCCGGCTCCCCTGCCCAAGGCCCAGAGTCCTGCCGTGATCTTGAACCCTGAGTCCACCTGGGCCGCGCTGCCAGCTCCTGAGCCTGAGCAGGTCAGCGGCGCCCTGGGCCACTGGAGGGGACAGCCCAGGAAGACATGGAGTGCTTGGGGAGAGGGATGTGGAGAGGGGTGGAGTTGGGCCTCCTTGGTCTCTACAAGCATGGAGACCTGGCTCTCACACAGGCTTTATTCAGGAGTTTATTCAGGGAGCCCTACCCCCCATCTCTGCCCTCCACTTTCATAGAACCCCACTTGGGTGAGGCTGGCTCCTCATCTGATCCTTGTGCCTCCGCACTGGCCCCCACCCCCCGGCTGTGCGGGCACATGGAGAGCTCAGGCTCTGGACACTGCCCAAGCAGAGCGCCCAGAACGGGCCTTGTGCAGGACTGGGCTGGAAGGGGTGGGAGGGGCAGGGAGGCGCGGTCATGGCTGGCAGCCAGCGGGTGTCACGAAGGAGACCCAGCCTTGAAGTCTTGCCCTTCAGGAGGCTGTTGGCCAGGAAATGTCTTGTTTGGGGGCCAGAAGCAAGGTAGGGGACATGGCAGTTGGGCAGCTGCTCTCTTCACCCTGGGAAGGCAGGAGGCCCTCTGGGGACAGCCCTTCTGGGCTCAGGTAGCTCACAGAAGAGGCTGGGACACTGGAAGGGGACCAGGAGCTCTTGGAGAGACCAAGATTGCCTGGCCCCGGGAGAGCAGGCTGGGGCCACAGGCTGCTGGAGGTGACAACCGGTGACCACTGGAACACCCCTCAGAACCATCTGTGGCCCCTGAGAGGCCGGACTCCCAGAGGAAGAGGAACCCCTGGAGCCGTACCTGAGGGGCCCCGGTGGAAGCTCCCAGGGGGACAGGAGTCCTGGCCTGGAATCTGTCCAGAAGATGGGGTGATGGGGGCTGTTGGGCCACAGAGCAGGACCTGCCTAGAAAGCTGCGGCCTGTCGTTCGGAGGAACACGATCCAGAGTGGGGAGAGGCCCTGCTCCTGGGCCGGGCTTTGCCTTTGGTGTCCCGATCAGAGTATGGAAGCCAACAGCAGGGGGAGCAGCAGCAGCACCAGGAGAGGGGCACAGCTGTGACTGGAGTTCAGCCTTAGCTCCCTCTGGGGCTCTTCAGCCTCTGTCCCTGTGGGAAGAAAGGAGCCAGGCCTTAGCCTGGAGACAGCTGTGCCGGATCTCTCCTCCACCTCACCATGCAGGGGGGCGGGCAGCAGCCAGGGAGGAAGCGTCTTCTCAGGGAGCATGCGCCGCCATGCCCCTACCGCCTATGCTGAGACAGGATGCTGCCATGGTGGAACCAAGAGGGAACATGGCGGGGGGGGGGGGGCCCACAGGCCTTACCTGGCAAGGATGACTGCAGGGCCAGGGTCAGCCCGCCCATGGCATTAGCCGAGGCGATGGGGGAATTGGGCAGGGACATGGAGGAGGTGTGGCCTGTGTGGTCCGCTGTGACCTGCAGTTCACCTGGATTGTCCTCCACTGGAAAAACTGCGGTCAAGACCTCACTGGGAGAAGGCGGCTCGGCCTCGGCCTCCTCGGGGGAATGGGGTAGGGGCTCTCCTGCCCCTTTAGGGAACATCTTGGGGTACAGAGATATCTCTGGGCCGGTGGAGGGTATGCTTGTCTTGCTGGCTCCTTTGTCCACAGGCTTGGGGACAGAATCACGGGTTGACTGTGGGAAGATAACTAGTCCTTCATCTGAGGAATGTGGTCTCTGAGTTGCAAGAGCAGAAGGGACCTCAGAGGCTAGGGAGGGCTGAGCCTCTGTTGCCATGGAGAAGGGCTTCTCTGTTGCTAAGGAAGTTGGGACCTTGGTTGCTGGGGAGCCTGAGACCTCTGTTATAGAGAAGGATGGAATCTCTGTGGCTACTGTTGGACTATCAGTTTCCTTAGAGCCTGAGACTTCAGTTGCCAGAGTGGTCCGGGCCTCAGTTTCCAGATGAGGCAAATCCTGCGTTTCTTCTGGGCCCCTCCTGGGTTCTGATAGGCAAGGCTGGCATTAGTGGTGCAAACGGAACCCCCGCATTCTTCATTCCACCCAACCTACACAAGGCAACCTAATGTTTTCGTGTGGCTCTCCAGCATGCAAATCTCTAGATGGCAACTGTTACTTTTTTTTTTTTTTTGTCAGTCCTGGGGCTTGAACTCAGGGCCTGGGCACTGTCCCTGAGCTTCTTTTGCTCAAGGCTAGCACTCTACCATTTGAGCCACAGCTCCACTTCTGGCCTTTTCTGTGTATTTTTCTGTGTATATGGTACTGAGGAATCGAACCTTTTTCTGTTTATGTGGCAGTGAGAAATACTGAGGCTTCATGAATGCTAGGTAAGCCCTCCACCGCTAAGCTACATTCCCAGCAACTGTTACTTTTTTTTTTTTTTGGTCGATCGTGGGTCCTGAACTTGGACTGGTCGCTGCCCCTCAGCTCTTCAGCTCAAAGCTAGGGCTCTGCCACAGCACCACTTCCGGTTTTCTAGTGGTTTTATTGGAGATAAGAGTCTCAAGGTCTTTCCTGTCTCGGCTGGCTTTGAACTGCGATCCTCAGATCTCAGCCTCCTGAGTAGCTAGGATTACAGGTGCAACACCTGGCAGCAACTGTTACTTCTTAAAGGATACAATTAGTCCTCAATCCAACTTCTCAGGAGCTTCTCTGGCTAGCTCCTCTAGGCCTTTTCTGTTTCAATGCACGCCCAACACGCCCACTGCATACAGACACTGCACACTCGAAGCACAGACCACGCCCATTCGCGTGGCCCCCTTGGTGCTCCTGAGCCTGGCAACTGCTCCAATTGCTCCATATTGGCAAAAGGTCGAAATCTGGTAGCTTGCGATGATAGGACGCCAAAGTGGCCACGTAGGGAGGGCGGAGCGAGCCTCTGCGGGCTTCCTTCTACATGCACAGTCAAGAGAACCCCAGACCACCCAGTTGCACCCCCAACCCCAGCGCCCCGTGATCTCACCGGCCAAGTTCACGCAGAGCGAGTTCTTGCAGTCATAGCCAGCGGGGCATTGGGAGCACGGAGTCCCCTCCTGGTAGGGCCTCTGCCCCTTCACGTTCCCCCTGCATGGATGAGGCCAATGCTGGAGGGGGTCGGCCAGTCCCTTTCCACCCGGTCCCCATTCCCATGCACCCCATTCGGCATGCCCCTGAGTCTGCTCCCTCCCACTGGCAACTTGTTAGGCAGCCCGTGCCTCCCCTGGCCCCCTGGTTAGCGAACTCAGACACCCCACCCCCAGTCAGTGCCCTCACAGCTCATTGGAAGGTACAGACCCCAGAGCCCCATTCACACAGACACACGATTCCTTCAACTGTCCAGTCCTGCCTCCCTCCATCCCCCGGCCCCCCAGCACTTACGGGGGCTCATAGTTGCACACCAGTAAGTGGATGTTAGTCTCCTCAACTCCCTGGAGCGTCTCACAGAAGTGGGAACCACAGCCGATCCTCTCTGTCTTACTCCAGACTACCTGAGGGAGGGCACACCCCACCGGTGAGGCCAGAGCTGGGGGCGCCACCCTTTCCCGGTTCCCCTGATGCCAGCTATCTGTGGGGTGGAGTGAGAAGGATCGGACCGCCTGTGAGACCCAAGTTCCTGAAGATGAGGTGCAGCTTCAGGACAAAACTGAGCAGGGCGGTAGGGAGTCTGGCCCTGAACTCACTTCCCTCCCAGGCCTGAGGCAAACCTCCGGAAGTTTTCCTTTGGGCTCTTCCTCTAGGCCCTTGCATTTTCTTTTTTTTTTTTTTTTTGGGTCCAGTCGTGGGGCCTGAACTCTGGGCCTGGGCGCTGTCCCTCAGCTCTTCAGCTCAAGGCTAGCACTCTACCACCTGAGCCACAGCGCCACTTCCGGCTTTTTTCTTTTTGCTTATGTGGTGCTGAGGAATCGAACCCAGGGCCTCGAGCATGCAAGGCAAGCACTCTACCACTGAGCCAGCTTCCCAGCCCTAGGCCCTTGCATTTTCAACAGGGGCAGATGCAAAGCAACGAATCTTACAGCATGGAATCTGAGACATAGGGGCTGGGAAGGTGGCTCAGTGGTAGAGTGCTTGCCTTGCATGCATGAGGCCCTGGGTTCAATTCCCCAGCACCACATAAGCAAAAAGAAAAAAAAGCCGGAAGTGGTGCTGTGGCTCAAGTGGTAGAGTGCTAGCCTTGAGCTGAAGAGCTGAGGGACAGCGCCCAGGCCCAGAGTTCAGGCCCCACAACCAGACCCCCCCCCAAAAAAAAAAACCACTAAACAGAAAAAGCCAGAAGTGGCACTGTGGCTCAAGTGGTAGAACGCTAGTCTTGAGCCTAAGAGCTGAGGGACAGTGCCCAGGCCCAGAGTTCAGGCCCCACGACTGACAAAAATAAATAAGAATCTGAGACATAAAACAAAAGGAAAGTCCAAGAAGAAAGCAAAGGAAGGGTCTGGGAAGGTGGCTCAGTGGTAGAGTGTTTGCCTTGCATGCCTGAGGCCCTGGATTCGATTCCTCAGCACCACATAAGCAAAAAGAAAAAAGCCGGAAGTGGCGCTGTGGCTCAAGTGGTAGAGGGCTAGCCTTGATCTGAAGAGCTGAGGGACAGCGCCCAGGCCTAGAGTTCAGGCCCCACGATCGGACCCAAAAAAAGAAAAAAAAAAAGCAAAGGAAGTTATTTTAAAAACAAAATCTGCTCTATAGCACAAGTCTGCCTGTTTCTAGGTGCAAGCTGCTGGAATGAACTCGTGTCTTAAGAATCAAACTCAACCTTTGTGTACTGCCATCCTCCCTCAATGTTTCCAGGCAGAGTGTGCCCAGGAGTCAGGCTATTTAAATCAGCTGACTATATCTGACCTTACAGAATACAATGGACTAGCCCTCTGTCCAGAGAAATGAGTGGATGGGGATAAGCCCTTCTGATGGGGGGGGGGGGGGTCCCCAGAGGGAAGTGGGTAGGGATGGTGCTGTAAATAGCACTAAAAATACCAACCAGAGAGGCTCTGAGAAGTGGAATAGGAGTGTGGGTGGCAAAGTGATTGCTTTCTGTCATATTAATCTTTGTGCAACAATTACTTGGGAAGAGAAAAAATTCAATTAGCACATGGATCTACACACACCCATACAATTTCAAAATACAGCCAGAACCCAGCCAGCGACAAGCAAAAAGGGACTGAGACAGGAAATGCTGTCAGAAGACCCCCAAGCATTAATTCAGTGACAAATTATTATTCACTTATCCATAACTTCCCCCCCCACCTCCCCCATCCCCGCTTTGGTCAGCCAGGAGGCATGAATTCTGGGCCTGTGTACTGTCCCTGAGCTCTTCAGCTCAAGGCTAGTGCTTTACCACTTTGAGCCACAGCTCCACTTCTAGTTTTCTGGTAGTTAATTGGAGGTAAGAGTCTCACAGACTTTCCTGCCCAGGCTGGCTTTGAACCTTTTTTTTTGGGTGGGGGGGCGTTCAGTCCTGGGCCTGAACTCTGGGCCTGGGCGCTGTCCCTCAGCTCTTCAGCTCAAGGCTAGCTCTCTACCACTTGAGCCACAGCGCCACTTCCTGCTTTTTTTCCCTGCTTATGTGGTGCTGAGGAATTGTACCCAGGGCCTCATGCATGCAAGGCAAGCGCTCTACCACTGAGCCACCTTCCCAGCCCTGGCTTTGAACTTTGATCCTCAGATCTCAGCCTCCTGAGTAGCTAGGATTACAGCCACCAACACCTGGAACATAACTTTTATTAAGCCACTAAATGAGTATGGGTAGCTTGTGCCTGTGATCTTAGCTACTCAGGAGGCTGAGATCTGAGGATTGAAGTTTAAAGCCAGTGCAGGCAGGAAAGTGTAAGATTCTTTTTTTTTTTTTTTTTTGGTCGGTTGTGGGGCTTGAACTCTGGGCCTGGGCACTGTCCCTCAGCTCTTCAGCTCAAGGCGAGCGCTCTACCACTTGAGCTACAGCGCCACTTCCGGTTTTCTGGTGGTTTATTGGAGATAGGAGTCTCACGGTCTCTCCTGCCCGGGCTGGCTTTGAACCGCAATCCTCAGATCTCAGCCTCCTGAGTAGCTAGGATTACAGGCGTGAGCCACCAGCGCCCGGCTGTCTGTAAGATTCTTATCTCTAATGAACCATCAAAAAGCCAGAACTGGAGCTGTGACTCAAGTGGTAGATTACCAGCCTTAAGTGAAAAAGCTGAGCTCAAGCCCTAGTACAGACACAAAACAAAAACCCTACCACAAGATTGACTTGCTTTATCAGTCCCAGATGACAAGCAATAAATTAGGCTGGGCATGGTGGTACACACCTGTAGTCCCAGCAATGTGGGAAGCCTAGGTTCTAGGATCTGGTTTGAGACCAGCCAGGCAAAAATAAAAGACTCTACCTAAAAAATGGCTGGGGACGTGGCTCGAGTGACAGAATACCTGTCTAGCATGACAAGAATTGCTTTAGAAGTGGAGTGAACCTCCCCCAAACCCCAAAGCAGCAAATTAGACATCATGATAAACATTGAAAGAGCAATGGTAAGTGAACAGACAAATCACAGGCACCTGCAGGTGGGCCATTAGCCCTGGAAAATAGGTGTGGGACGGGGTGGGGGCAGGATTGCGTAGCACCCCCTATAGTGTGGCTAGGACAGTGACTACGAAACTGCAACGCAGGCTCTCAGAATCCTGCTTTCTCCTCAACAGCAGAAGGCCGGGAGGGTGGGTTAGGTTTTCAAAAGCTTTGGTTGGTTGTTTTGTTTCTTGCTAAGCCTAGTTTCATGCTGGCACTGGTGTGTACGCCTGTAACCCTAGCTGTTCCAGAGGCTGAGATCTGAGGTTCAAAGGCAGCCTGGGCAGCAAAGTCCGTGAAACGCATCTCCATTTAACCACCAAAAAGCCAGACGTGGAGCTGGGGCTCAAGTGGCAGAGCACTAGAGCCTTGAGCAGTTCAAGGACAGCATCCAGGCCCTAGGACTGCTGCATGTGTGCATGCATGTCTGTGTGCAAACACACACACAGAGTTTCATAAAGGATATAAGCAGGCTGAAGATGCAGACCCAGAAGGTCTTGAGGACCTCACTCAGAAGCTCGTTCTCTTCCGGGCCCCGCCCCGCCGCGGCCCCGCCCCCGCCGCGGCCCCGCCCCGCCAGAGGCCCCGCCCCCGCCGCGGCCCCGCCCCGCCCCGCCGAGGGGCCGCCTCGCCCCGCCCAGGCCCCGCCCCCGCCCAGGCCCCGCCCCCGCCGCCCCTCTCCGCACCTGCGTGTAGTGGCCGCACACCTGGCCCGGGTCGCAGGCAGCTGCGCTGAGGTTGTAGTGCTGGCGCTCCTGGTGCCACTCCTCCACGGCCAGCGGCACGTCCATGCCCTCGTCCGTGATGGCGAACAGGTTCTCCCCGCGCCGCCCGCGCTCCGTGTTGTGGCCCCAGACGCACTTCTGCGCGTAGGCCTTGGCGAAGGCCGCCAGCTCCTCGTCCCATTTCTGCGGGGGGGGGGGAGAGGGGGGAGGAAGAGGGGGGAGGAAGAGGGGTGGGCTGAGTGAAGGGGGAGGCCTCGGGCTGAGTGAGGGGCCCACCGTCTCTGGGGGTCAGAGAGGAAGGTCCTGGGGGCCCCAGGTCAGACCTGCCTACCAGCAGTCCTGAAGGAGGGGACTCCTGACCACACCTGTCTCTGTGCCCCGAGGGCTTCAGTGGGGAAGGAGGGCCCAGCCCAGGCCAAGGCGTCTGTCACCCTGGGTGTGGTATTATTGCCTACCCTTTGTGAAGCTGGCAGGGCGTTGGGAAGGCTGAGTGACTCGCTGTTTGTCTGCGTTATTAACACTGTGGAAACCGGGGTGATAATGCACTTCAGACTCTCCAGTGAGATGTTGAAGGCCAAGTGGTTTATTCAACCCACTTCCCTCCTTCCATCAGTCTAACTTGGGGGCTTGTACACCCACTCCCTCCTCTTCCTAAGTGCTCTGAGGTTCTCTGTCCCACAACCTCTTTCCAAAAAAACTGATTGGCCAAGTGCTGGTGGGCTGGTGACTCCTGTCGTAAGGAGGCTGAGATCTGAGGATCACAGTTCAAAGCCAGCCCAGGGAGGAAAGTCTGTGAGACTCTTATCCACAATGAATCACCAGAAAACCAGAAGTGGCACAGTGGCTCAAATGGTAGAGCACTTGCCTTGAGCTGAAGAGCTCAGGGACAGTTCCCAGGCCCAGAGTTCAAGCCCCACCACCAACAAAAACAAGGAAAAAAACGACTGAGATCTGAATATCTATGAGCCTGGGCAGAAAAGTTTCTAATCTTACCACACAGCCAGAAGTGGAGGTGTGGCTCAATTAGAAGAGGGACAACCTTGAGAGAAAATACCAAGTGAGAGTATGAGAGACCCTGAGTTCAGGTCCCAGTACCAGCACCAAAAAGAAAACAAGAAAGCATTTGGTAAGAATAGAAATGACAGCAGAGGAAACCCAGGAAAGGAAGGATCTGAGTGTGACATTTAACTTGCTGCCTGTTATTGAGAGTCTTGGTAACCCAAGGCTGTCAAGGTGCCAATGGTGATTTCCTTCCGGGGGCCTCAGATGGGACTCTGGGAGGGAGCATTTTGGGGTTAGAGGGTCTCTGAGGCTTTGTGTCCCCGTTGGGGCAGGCAGACAGACCAAGTGTGGGTGGGAAGACAATTAAGAGGCATCTGACCCAAAGGATTGAGGAGAGAGGCCTGGATCCCATTAAACCTAGTCTTTGGCCTCTCCTGGAATGGCTGGCCTGCAGCAACCATGGCCCCACCCTGCAGCTTCGACAGCCAGACAGGCCATAAAGCAGGGTTTTGATGACCCTGGGGGAGGGGCGGGGCGTGCAGCCGCACCCTCGTACTCACCACCCACTCACAGCTTTCAGGGAGCACTTGCAAGGAGGCAGGATGGGAACACTGGGCTCCGACGGCCTCACGTGAGTCCCTTTCCCTCTGGGCATTCACGTCCCAAATCCCTGGGTGATGGGGAGGTCCAAGCTAGACTGAGTTCCTTGGAGAAGGTCAATAATGCACCCCAGTATCTGCCATGGGCGCCTAACATATTTGCCTATCACCAGTGACTGTGACAAGTCCCTGCTTAAAGCAGTCTTCCTGCTGCAATTCTTCTTCTCCCCAGATGCTTGGAGTCTGCCATTACTCATGGCTTGTTAAGGCTTCTCAGTGAGTGGTCCAGGGCCCACTGTGAGGTGGTAAGAATCACAATACAGGCCTACATTGGCCCCACAGTTACCATCAGAAAGGAAGTCCATCCATCCTTTCATTCGTTCAGGCTGGGATGGTAGCAAGGACTACATGGTCATAGTTACCAGCCCACCTGGGCTCCGTGGCATATGCAGTACTGAGGGGCACAGGGGCGGGGCGGGGGGTGGGAGGAAGGAGGAGCCCTTAGCTAATGTTAGAGGCAAGGCATTAGCCAGGCAGAGGTAGGATCAGCATTCTGAGCAGAAGTCACCATGGCCAAAGGCATGGGCTGGAGGGCATCAGGGACTAGCAGATAGGGAAACTGAGGCCCCACCGTCTGTCCCAGGCCTCCATGATGGAGATGTTGGCAGAGCTCATGATAGCATTTGGGTCTCCTGATTTGTCATCGGCAGTTTCTGGTTGCCGGGACCAATGGGGCTGTGAATGCTGCGTGCGTATGTGTCCCACACGTCACTCTGTTTGACCCACGGGGCAAGAGTGGTTGGACCCAACTTTCAGTCTAGAAACAGAGGTCTTTGGAGGGCAAGCAGCCCAATCAGAGTCACAAAACCACAGAGCTGAGCTTGGACCTGGGGGCTTGGGACCTGGGTTCATGCTGTGTCTCCCAAGTGGGACTCTACCGTCAGGCACACATGACAGGTTCCTGGCTCCAGCCTGCCAGGCCACAGGAGCAGTGGCTGGGGCCATGGGCCAATCAAACCAGTGGGAGGACAGGCAGGGCAGGAATTCTCACTTTATCTCCTTTACTTCTGAGCTCAGACATCCTGCCCCAACCCTGTCCTCAAATAGCACTCCCTTCCTGACAGTTGTCCCCTCCCTCCAGCATCTGTCTGCATGAACATGGATGCCTGCCACCTCTGGATGCTTCTCTCTCGCTTAGAATTAGTTAGCACTTTGGTTTTTTTTTGGGTTCGGTCGTGGGGCCTGAACTCTGGGCCTGGGCGCTGTCCCTCAGCTCTTCAGCTCAAGGCTAGCGCTCTACCACTGGAGCCACAGTGCCACTTCTGGCTTTTTTCTTTTTTTTTTTGTCGGTCATGGGGCTTGAACTCTGGGCCTGGGCGCTGTCCCTCAGCTCTTCAGCTCAAGGCGAGCGCTCTACCACTTGAGCTACAGCGCCACTTCCGGTTTTCTGGTGGTTTATTGGAGATAGGAGTCTCACGGTCTCTCCTGCCCGGGCTGGCTTTGAACCGTGATCCTCAGATCTCAGCCTCCTGAGTAGCTAGGATTACAGGCGTGAGCCACCAGCGCCCGGCTTCTGGCTTTTTTCTTAAGTGGTGCTGAGGAATCGAACCCAGGGCCTCAGGCATGCAAGGCAAGCACTCTACCACTGAGCCACCTTCCCAGCCCCACTTTGGTATTTTTTGAGATCTTAGCAGCCCTGCACAATATTACACTCGATGTACGTGAAGCCCTCCTTATGATCCCATTTTACGGATGAGCAACTGAGTCTACAAAGTAACAGGACATGCCCCCGGAGCGCAGGCCTCACCGGTAATGCAGACAGAAGTTGAACTGTGGGAGTCCACAGCCCTCTCTGCTTCTGATTCATGCCCTCAGCCACCCATCCAGCTCCCTTCTTCCTCTCCTCATCTCCTCGAGGAAGCCCCTGAAAGACCTTCCCAGGGCCACCTGTGTTTCAGGAAGAGCTGGGGCGGTGTCATTAGAATGAGAATCCTGTGCCAGCTCTTGAAGTTGAGTGAGTCCATCTGGGCCTCAGTTTCCTCATCTGGATTATGGGGCTGCTTATGGAGCCCTGTGAATGATCGAATGTCACTGGCCAGAGAGAGGAAGCTGAAGTAGCTTTGGCGTGGGGGAGTGGGGAGAGGGGCTGGGGGCCGGCCCTGCCCAGCAGCCCCAGCGACCCCAGCAGACGAGTGCCAGCCCACTCACCATCAGCAGCATGTTGGAGGCGGGAGGGGACACCTGGGCGCGGTAGAGGTTGTGCAGCTTCACCATGGCCAGCTTTTCCTCCTCCTTGAGGGCTGCAGTGGCTCCCAGCAGCAGCAGCAGCAGCAGGGGCGGCAGCAGGGCCTGGAGGCTGTAGGAGGTGTGCATGGTGGTCAGCCCTCTCTGCCTCTCCTGTCCGGGGGTCTGGCAGCAGGATTTAAGCTCCTTCCCACACAAGCACCACCCTGGCTGGGGAGGGGCGCAGGGGTTGTGTCTGGAGGCCCTGCCCGGTTCATACAATGTCTCAGGGCGGGCTGGGTGCCTTGGGTCCTGACCAAAGCTGAATCCACTGCCTAGAGCCCTTGGCAACAGCTTCCTTTCTCTCAGTAAGGCGGGGTGGGGGAGTGGGGGGGGGATGCAGGCCAAGAGCTGTGCACGCTCCCCAGTCCCTCTGGGCTGTGCACAGAGACTTAGGGAGCAAAATGACAGGAGCATCTGGAAAGCCGTGGCCCTGACACCCAGGAGCACTGCTGAGCAATGAGGACAGGAAAGGGGAAGTGGCAAAGCCGGACGATCACAAGGTTCTTGGTAGTTTTGAAATGACAGGAAGACCAGATACATTTGGTTAAAAGTGGAACCAGAGCCGGGCGCTGGTGGCTCACGCCTGTAATCCTAGCTACTCAGGAGGCTGAGATCTGAGGATCGCGGTTCAAAGCCAGCCCTGGCAGGAGAGACCGTGAGACTTCTATCTCCAATAAACCACCAGAAAACCGGAAGTGGCACTGTAGCTCAAGTGGTAGAGCGCTCGCCTTGAGCTGAAGAGCTGAGGGACAGCGCCCAGGCCCAGAGTTCAAGCCCCACGACCGACAAAAAAAAAAAAAGTGGAACCAGGTCTGAAGCCTGGTCCTGCCCACAGCTTTCTGGGTTGCGGGAGGAACTGAGTCAGTGATGGTGACAGGCCACGCCTACTCATGGGGAAGCAGGGAGGGCATATGGATGTGTGCGCTTGTGGGACCCAGCACACACCAGGTCTCCAGTGGACAGCACCCCTCCACCTTGTGGACGCACTTGCTCTAAGCGTGCATGGGAAATGGGTGCTCTGAATATGCTGTCCTTTTCCTCCCCTTCCTCCCCCCACCTCCGCCTCTCCTCTTATCCCAATCAGGTCTCCCTACCTAGACCAGCTCAGCTTGGAACTTGGGATCCTCCTGCCTCCAGCTTCCCCAGGGCCAGGATTACAAGTATGTACCAAAATACCACCCCCAGGGGTTTTGAAGGCTTTGTCTTGATGTGTGGATTTAAAGGCCCTGACTATCCCACAGATCTGTGTTTTTCTTTTTTTTCTTTCTTTTGCGGGGGTCCTCTTCAGCTCAAGGCTAGCGCTCTACCACTTGAGCCACAGTGCCACTTCCAGCTTTTTTCTTTTTGCTTATGTGGTGCTGAGGAATCGAACCCAGGGCCTCATGCATGCAAGGCAAGCGCTCTACCACTGAGCCACCTTCCCAGCCCACAGATCTGTGCTTTTCTTGAAGGCCTTAAGCTTAGGGACAAATCTAAGTTTGGGACTCACCTGTGTTTAGAGCCAGGCAGATCCCTGAAAGTTCTTGGCTGGGACGCATCACTCCGGTTCATGGAGTTGCTTCTTGCCTTCTGCCTTTGGCTTCTGTGCCCTTGAGCTACAACCCCTCCAACGCTTCCAGTCAGGCGCAGGTCAGCCTGCCGCACACTGAAGAGACAGGTGTTCTCGGAAACCTTTTCTGGCTTCAGCACTGACCTCCCTCCAGTCTCCCCTGCGATGGTGCTGAGATGGCACTGGGGGGGGGGGGGCGCGGGCATTTCTGGCAGGGGTGCCATGGTGATGGACTGCAAAAGACTAAAACGGGGTGGGAAGGTGGCTCAGTGGTAAAGTGCTGGCCTAGCATGCATGAGGCCCTGGGCTCAATTCCTCAGCACCACATCCACAAAAAAATGAAAGAAATAAAACACAAAACCACCAAAAATGACATAAAAAATTAGATACAAATATATATATATATATAAAAGACATACTTCCTGGCTGGGCAGATCATTTGCCCCGTGTAAAATCTGAGAGTTAGGGGCTGGGAAGGTGGCTCAGTGGTAGAGCGCTTGCCTTGCATGCCTGAGGCCCTGGGTTCAATTCCTCAGCACCACATAAGCAAAAAGAAAAAAAGCCGGAAGTGGTGCTGTGGCTCAAGTGGTAGAGCGCTAGCCTTGAGCTGAAGAGCTGAGGGACAGTGCCCAGGCCCAGAGTTCAGGCCCCACGACTGGACCCGCCCCCCCAAAAACATCTGAGAGTTATTGGGGTGGGCCAGTACGGCAGTGTCACAGTGGCTGTTTTGAACAGGCAGGGGTGCCTGGCACATCAAAGAAGGTAGAATGGAGTCTGCTGCCTTCAGATTTGGGGTCCATGGCTCCTGAAGAAGATGACTGATGGGATGGGCTCTGGGGACAGAGCCTCAGGGCATGCCTGATGCCCCCAGGAACCACCCCTCCTCCCTCTCCCCCAGGAGAGCTGGCTGCCTTGCCAGCCTGAGTCCTAAGGAGACCCTGGCTCTTCACAGCTAGGGTGTGCCTAAGGGCAGAGGGTCCTCCCTCCCAGAGGCCAAATCCAGCCAACATCCGCAGCGTGGCTGGCAGGAGGCCACCCTGGGCAGGTGTTTGTGACTGACCTGGCGTCACAGTCGCCAGGTAACCATGCCGTGGGACTCAGTGTCTACCAAGATACAGGGACCAGGGAACAGCCAAGTGGCAGGATGCAGAGGGCCGCATGTTCCCGGCGAGCTCTCTTCTTGTCTCCCAGGCAAGAGGGATGCAGGGCCTTCTGTGTTGCTTCTCCTGGTTGTGGTTGGGTGCACGGGTATTATCTGTCCTAATTTTGTAGGTATGCTTTTATTTTTTTTTAATTTTAATTTTTTTGCCTGTCATGGGGCTTGAACTCAGGGACTGGGCACTGTCCCTGAGCTTCTTTTGCTCAAGGCTAGCACTCTACCACTTCAGCCACAGCGCCATTTCCAGCCTTTTCTGTGTATGTGGTGCTGAAGAATCGAACCCAGGGCTTTGTGCATGCTAGGCAAGAACTCTATCACTAAGCCACATTCCCAGCCCATCTGCACTTTTACTTTATTTCTATTTTGTGTTAGTCATGGGGCTTGAACTCAGGGCCTGGGCACTCACTATCCCTGAGCTCTTCAACCACTTTGAGCCACAGTGTCACTTCCAGTTTTCTGGTGATTAATTGAAGAGTCTCACAGCTTTCCTGCTTGGGCGGGCTTTGAACTGCAATCCTCAGATCTCAGCCTCCTGAGAAGCTAGAATTACCGGTGTGAGTCACCAGCACCTAGCTAGTATTTTTTTTTTAAGAAGATAAAATAAAAAAAAGAAGAGAAGATAAAAAAAATAGGAGGCAGTTAGGAAAACAAACTCCTGAGTAGGACAGAGTGAAGGGCATGAGAACTCAAGGTCAGATGGAGGAGGGACTTTGTTGTTGACCAGATAGTGGACTCCATGGCGGTATAAGAAAAATGATGTGACGGGCTGGGAAGGTGGCTCAGTGGTAGAGCGCTTGCCTTGCATGCATGAGGCCCTGGGTTCGATTCCTCAGCACCACATAAGCAAAAAAGAAAAAAAAATCCGGAAGTAGCGCTGTGGCTCAAGTGGTAGAGTGCTAGCCTTGAGCTGAAGAGCTGAGGGACAGAGTCCAGGCCCACGGCCGACCAAAAAAGAGAGAGAGAGAGAGAGAGAGAGAGAAGAAAAATGATATGAGAGAGCAGAACACCAGGGGCTCACGCCTGTCATCCTAGCTACTCAGGAGGCTGAGATCTGAGGATCGAGGTTCAAAGCCAGCCTGGGCAGGAAAGTCTGTGAGACTCTTTTTTTTTTTTTTGTCGGTCGTGGGGCTTGAACTCTGGGCCTGGGCGCTGTCCCTCAGCTCTTCAGCTCAAGGCGAGCGCTCTACCACTTGAGCTACAGCGCCACTTCCGGTTTTCTGGTGGTTTATTGGAGATAGGAGTGTCATGGTCTCTCCTGCCCGGGCTGGCTTTGAACAGCGATCCTCAGATCTCAGCCTCCTGAGTAGCTAGGATTACAGGCATGAGCCACCAGCGCCCGGCTGTGAGACTCTTATCTCCAATTAACTACCAGATTGGAAGTGGTGCTGTGGCTCAAGGGCTAGAGCACTAGCCTTGAGCTGAAGAGCTGAGGGACAGCGCCCAGGCCCAGAGTTCAGACCCCACAACTGGCCAAAAAGAGAGAGAGAGAAAGGAAGGAAGGAAGGAAGGAAAGAAGGAAGGAAGGAAGGAAAGATGATAGATGATATGAGCCGGGCACTGGTGACTCAGGCCTGTAGTCCTAGCTACTCCGGATGCTGAGATCTGAAGGTCATGGTTCAAAGCCAGCCCAGGCAGGAAAGTCTGTGAGTCTCACAGACTCAGCTCCAGCACTGGAAGTGGTGCTGTGGCTCAAAGTGGTAGAGCTTAACAGAACTCAGGGACAGCACCCAAGCCTTGAGTTCAAGCTCTAGGATGGTAAAAAAGAAAGCCAATAGGAAGTAATCCCACTGATGTATTTGTATAAAACTATGTCAAAGAAACTGTCAAAATAACTATGAACATACAAAAAATAAACCCAGCTCAAGCCCACATTGGTTAACTGGCCTGTGATCTGTTGGCAGCTGGAGGGGAGCCCACAGGGGCCTGCAGTCCTCCACTGAGCCTGAGGGGGCGGGCCGCCACTATGAGGATATCTGGACACAGTCCTGTGTGGCCAGCTGGTAAGAAGGACAAAGGAATCTAGGGTCTCATTTGATTTCTGGGCACAGTGTATGGATGGGGTGGGTGTTAGCAGGAAGACTGAGATTTGAGAGCTGGTAGGGAGAGGAGGTCAGAAGCCACCATGGACGAAGGCAGAGTGAGGGTGGAGGCTGGGAATGCACCAGGGCAGAACGTTAGAAAATGCAGTGCCTGTCAGAGGCAGGTTATCTCTGGTGAGAGGCACATCGGGAGCTGGGCTCGTGAGCAGCATGTATTAGAAGAGGAAAAGAGAGGGTGCTGGGGCTGGGAAGGTGGCTCAGTGGTAGAGTGCTTGCCTAGCATGCACAAAGCCCTCGGTTCAATTCCTCAGTACCACATACACAGAAAATGCTGAAAGTGGCGCTGTGGTTCAAGTGGTAGAGTGCTAGTCTTGAGCAAAAGAAGCTCAAGGACAGTGCCCAAGCCCTGAGTTCAAGCCCCAGGACTGGGGAAAAAAAGGTGGGGGGGGAAGGGGGGTGGGAGGGAGGGGGAGGCTGCTGGCTGCTGGTGGCTCACACCTGTCATCCTAGCTACTCAAGAGTCTGAGATCTGAGGATCACAGTTCAAAGCCAGCCCAGGCAGGAAAGTCCATGAGACTCTTACTCCAATTAAACACCAGAAAACCAGAAGTGGTGCTGTGGCTCAGAGTGGTAGACTTAGCCTGGAGTGCAAAAGCTCAGAGATGGTGGCCAGGCCCAGGCCCTGAGTTCAAACCCTACACACACACACACACACACACACACACACACACACACACACACACACACACACACACACACACACACACACACACACACGGAAAGGAGAAAATGGAAGATCAAATGACACCCAGAACAGGGAAGCTCTTACCAACCAACATGAGTACTTCTAATTGCAACAAAACTTTCAGGTGACATTGTCCAAAACAGAAATGAACTCTTTTCTTGCCTGCGTGACTGTAACCCTTCTGTACATCACCTTTATAATACATTTTTTTGGGGGGGGGTCTGGTCGTGGGGCCTGAACTCTGGGCCTGGGTGCTGTCCCTCAGCTCTTCAGCTCAAGGCTAGCGCTCTACCACTTGAGCCACAGCGCCACTTCCGGCTTTTTTCTTTTTGCTTATGTGGTGCTGAGGAATCGAACCCAGGGCCTCATGCATGCAAGGCAAGCACTCTACCACTGAGCCACCTTCCCAGCCCTGTAATACATTTTTTTAAAAAGTAAAAACTCACGTGGTGTAAACCATGAACACACATTCTCTGCCTGGCAAATGCCTTGCACGTTTGCAGCACACCGAGTTACTGTGGTCATTCTGTACAGCTGGGCAAGAGGCTGCTTCCCCCGCTCACCCAGACCTTGTGGTCCTTCCACTCAGGACATGACCCAGCCTGCTTCCTCTGCCCTGGCCCAGGCTCCAGCTCATTAATGGCAGGGAGGAGCTGAGCCCCTGCCTTGCCCGTATCTCTCTAGTCTTTCTTTCCCCTACTGTGGGCTTCTGTGGCTATTCCACAGGAGAGAAGGAGGGAGGGAGGACCACAGGCAGAACTATGGAAAGAAGTGGGGAGGAGAGCTGCCCGTGATGAGACGGGTCCTCTGGAGCTCAGCGATCCGTGGGTCCTGCCACCAAGCCTCATGGAGAGTCCAGCGTTTGTCTCTAGTATTACAGCGCTGTAGCTGGCTGCACTGTGAATAAACACGCCTAGTCCAGCACATGTGCAGCTCCCCAAGTTCTGCTTGAAACTCAAGCGCATCTTAGCGGGCTTCCATCCTCTGTCTGGTGCTGGCAGCTGTGGACGCGCTGCTGAAGGTAGGAGGGTCTCCGCCCAGCCCCACCGCAGACCCAGGCCTCTGCTGGTTATGTAACAGTCCTTTGTCTGGAAAAAAAAAAAAAAAAGGCTGGACATTTCCCAGTCTCCAGAGAGGGGGAAATGACAGATGGAGTTCGTTCTAATGCTTAAATTATGCAGGGCAGGGAATCCAGACACAGAGGGGCCTGGACAGCACACAAGCTGGCCAGAGGGTTTCCCCCGCAGGCCAGCACCTACACCACACAGCGCCCGGGAGAGCGTCTGTCCATCATGCTAATGTGCTTTGGTGGAAGAAGCTGTGGCGGGCTGGAGGCTGGAGTGAGGAGGACAGGAATGCAAGGCTGCTGGGAACTAGACACGTTCTGGTTCCCAGAGTTCGCCTTTTTTGTCGGCTTCAGGGTTGTATCCAAGGGCGCTCTCCCCTTCCTCATCTCCCCACCTGACCCACATTGGCTGAAGTCCCAAACCCAGGCACCATCTTGGCCTGAAGGACATTGTGGAAACACATCTCAGCCTGTCTCTTCCCTCTCCCAGTTTTTGTGCAACGTGTGCTCCACCACCACAGGAGCTTACGTCTAAAACACAGCCAGGTGCCGGTGGTTCCCGCCTGTCATCCTAGCTACTCAGGAGGCTGAGATCTGAGGATCATGGTTCAAAGTCTCCAATGAACCACCACAAAACTGGAAGTGGAGCTGTGGCTCAAAGTGGTGGAGTGCTAGCCTTGCATGAAAGAGCTCAGGGACAGCACCCAGGCCCTGAGTTCAAGCCCCACAACACACACACACACACACACACACACACACAGAGTCTAACATCCCCCTTGGCCCCCAGGGGCCTCCCCACAGGGAGACAAAACCAACCCTCCACGCACACAGAACTGCAGTGGTCCCTCCCCAGATCCTACAGCCCAGCTGCCCCTGTGGCCAAGAAGCTTTTAGGATTTGCACATTCATCATGGAAGTGACTGGGGAATGAGCTAACTCATTCCAGACGGTATTAAAATGACTGAGGTCAGCACCTGTGGTTGAAGGAATTTGTGATTTGATTTTAAAATAATTGCCCCTACACGGAGAAGCCTCTGCTAGATTTTTGGAAGAAGGGAACAGAAAACTTGAGAAGTGAAAAACAAGTGATGTAACTCCAAGGGGACCCACCACTGGAATTGGGCAGAGCCCCTCCCTGGCCCACATCTGGAACCGTGGTGACGGGAAAGCGGTGGGACACAGTGGTGCTCAGCTCCACTCACTCATCGCGCCTTCCGATGGGGAGGGGACCGTGGGAGGACTTGGATGAAAATCATATGGCTAAGATTCCTCTCCATTTCTGTCCAGAGTCTTGAAAACAAGCCCTGCAAAGTCCCCGGCTTGTGGACCCTCAGGCCTGGTTCTCCCACCCCATTGGGGTGCTACTCCCCCCCCCCCCCTCCCCACAATGGCATCCATGGTTCTGCTCCTGGGCCAGGTACCACGGCCTGCTTACCTCCCAGCTCTAGTTTCTTGCTCTACACCTCAGCTTCCTAGTGATACCTATCTACTGGGGGAACGTGGGGGGAGGGGAACCACCTATGGGGACCCTCTGGAAGCTAAAGCGGTCTGGGGTGAACTTACCATTCATTTCTCTGAGACAGACTGAGCATGCCCATTGCACTGACGGCTTGGTAGTGCACGGAGAGGCGCATGTCTGTCATAAAGCCGTACTACCACGGGCCTTCCTTTCCTACTGAAATTGAGTGTGGGGTGAGGACGAACTCTGCTTTCCACAGCGCAGGACAGCTGTGTCACACATCCGACACTTGCACACACCTGCCCCAGCGGACGCCGGAGCAGCCTGCCTCCCCAGATGCGATTGTCTGCCAGTGGCCTGAAGGTGGGCCCAAGCCACATGTGGTCCACCACCATGCCACCTCCTGGTCACTGCTTTACCAACTTGGGAGCGGGTCCCTGTGGCTTGCTGGCATTGGGCAGGGGTGGCGGCGGCTGGTTAGGTGGTCCTGCCATACCTCTATCACTGTGCTCTCAGCACCACCTCTTTCCTTTCCCGGGTGCTCAGGCCTTTGGCTCCTTCTGTCTACTGATCAAGTGCTAGCTCTCTACTGACACAAAGGCCAAGTACAACAAGGAAAGTTGCTGGCAGGCCTTGGCCATTGCTACAGGACTGATAGCTAGGAGATTCTGCCCATCAGAACCGCCATGAGAAAAGACTGCATTACTTCTAGACTTCATTAATTAAGAGCAGAAAACCCTCTCCAGGGAGAATCTTTTTTTTTTTTTTTTAATTGGTCAGTCATGGGGCTTGAACTCTGGGCCTGGGCGCTGTCCCTCAGCTCTTCAGCTCAAGGCTAGTACTCTACCACTTGAGCCACAGTGCCACTTCCGGTTTCCTGATAGTTTTTTGGAGATAAGAGTCTCACGGACTCTCCTGCCTGGGCTGGATTTTAACAGTGATCCTCAGATCTCCTCTTCCTGAGTAGCTGGTATTACAGGCATGAGCCACGGATGCCCAGCTGAGAATCTCTCTTTCAACACAAGTCTGCATTCATGAATAGAATCTATACAAAGCCTCAGCTAGACCCTCCCAAGGCTGATATATGTGAAGGTCCCCTCATGTTCGTGACTATTATGTGGATATGTAAAATGTCCAAGGCAGAAGTAAAATGGGAGGACACAAGGTAATTCACCAAAACCCAAGCAGAGCTCGGTCCTCAGAACAGCAGCCTTGCCCCACGCAGTCCTCTTCTGTTCCTGCATAGGATGTATGGGAAGCCAGCTCTGCAGGCCTCTGGAATCTGATTGCTGACCTGCCTGTGTACCGGGGGAACGCTACAGATGTTCTGAGCCTTTGCACAAGGCTGGCCTCAAAGTGATCCTCTGACTTAAGACCTCAAAGCAGGACTGCTTAGCGGCGTGACTTTTATATGTACAAAGGTTTTGTTTTTCCCTACTCGGTCACACAGGGGCTGGTTCTTTTAAGGAAAAATTCCCTCAGGTACAATCATCTGAGTTTCATTTAAGCCCGCAGAGGAGGCACTGAGTGTTTCTGCTCTGAGCAGTGACCTCTGCTGTCTTTTACAAACCCACACACAGGCCATTTAGGGCCCAATGGCCCCCAAGAGATACCTAGGGAAAGAGGGCTGGGAAGAGGGACACACAAGGGTCACAGCTCTGTCACCAGTGGCTTCACACACACACACACACACACACACACACACACACACGCACACCCACACGCACACTCTCTCTCTCTCCTTGTGATTTCTGCTGCAGAGGCCAAAGTGGCTTGTTTTCTCTTTTGGAGACACGACAAGTGGCCACGGATGGCCACTAGCAGTAAGGGTGGGACTAGTAAGACTAGTAAGGGTGGGAAACTTGAATAGTTAGCATGTGCATTCATTACACATGCCCACCGCACTGGGGGCAAACAATGAGCACAGAGAGCCAGCCAATCGGAGCACAGCTTTATGTCACTACAAAAATAACAGTTCACTCTGTCCCCCAGGACAAAGGGGAAGCCTTTTTAGGACGGAGGATCACCAATTACAGTGAGTGACATAGCCCCGCTGGGTCTGGAGCTCTTCTGCCAGCCACATTACGACAGCAGCTTGCACACACCTGCAAAACAGCCCCTGTACAGTCAGGCCCTGTGATCCAACCCAGGCAGGGCCCTCTCCCCCAGCCAGCACGAGCTCGCCTCCCTCTGAAGACAAAGTAGGTAAGGGGCGGACGAGGGCCGCTGCCTGAGCAGTGGGGGCTCCGGCCCAGCCACGGGAGGGGACCGGGAGCCCAGGTTCTGGGAACACATTTAGATGGGGGCAGAGCTGGGGTGTTATAAACCTGGAGAGAAGTGTGTGCTTCGGAATTATATTAAAATTATACTCACACTCCAGCCTGGCATCACTGACTCCAAGAGCCAGGGACGCTAGGGAGGAGGGTTTGATAAAACTTTTGTACTTTGCAGTGCTGGGACCCAGGGCCTCACACATCTAACGGCAATTCAAGTTATTTGATCTTTTGTTCTCAATTCCACTCTGCTTGGCAAAGTGCTGTGACTTCCTTGGCCATGGATTTCCATCGGGGTACGGGGCAGACAGCGAAGATCAGGTCCATTTGCTAAGGGGCAGCTGTATGCCAGGATCCACCGGCTGCCACCTCCATGGCCTTCCCAGTGGAGGAGGGCACCGCGTAGATTTCCTGCCAGTGGGGCGAACTCAGGCCACAGCATCCAGAGGCTAGATGAGCCCCAGACAGATGCTGGCAGAGCCCCAGTGATGCAGCCAGGCTGGAATCCTTCTTGAGCCATCTGGGGGAGGAGCAGCTGGCGGGCACATGCATGCCAAGGGCGGGAGCTGAGGAACCAGCCCCTGGAACGTGGCTCGTCCTTTTCATTTCTTCCCTTTCAACCTGGTGGTCAGCACGCTAAGCTGCTCCTACAGTTCTGTTTCCTATGGTGCTGAGAGAGTGGTTCCATCACAGATGACCAAAGGCTGCGTCCCTCTGGCTACAATGTAGGCCTTCCAGTGTGGGGCGCTGGCGTAGCCTTGAGAGGAAACAGCAATGGGAAACAGGTGAGGAGCAGGGGCAGGGCAGGCAGAGCCCGGAATACCACAGACCCGTAGGCAAATCTTGCTGTGGGGATGTCTCCGCTCTTCACAGCGTAAGAATCCCTCCTTATGACAGTGCTGTCTAACCGGACATCCAACAGGTCAGCAGGCTCCACTCTGAACCCAAATGCCCCCCACCCCCAGCAGCTCAATCACATGCTACAGATCTCAAAGGCCAGGAAGGCACTGCTGGCTACCAGTTCTCAGACTGATCTCCAGCTTTTTGTGTGTGTGTGTGTGTTTGCGTGCACATGCATACGTGCGTGCGTGCTCACACATGTCTTTCAAAATAGGGTCTACGTAGCCCAGACGGGCCTCAAACTTGAGGTCCTCTTGACTCTGCCACCTTGAGTGTTGGGATTACAGGTGTGCACTGCCATGCCTGGTTTGATCTCATGACCTCAAGCTTTTTTCGTTGTTGTTGAATTCTGGCCTTGGGTACTGTCCCTGAGCTCTTCAGCTCAAGGCTAGTGCTCTACCAATTTGAGCCACAGCACCACTTCTGGTTTTCTGGTGGTTCATTGGAGATAAGGGTCTCATGAATGTTCCTGCCCAGGCTGGCTTTGAACTGGGATCCTCAGATCTCAGTCCTCTTAGTATCTGGGATGACAGGCGTGAGCCACGGACACCCGGTGAGGCTTTCTTTTAACCACAACACAGCCATAGTTGTTAAAAAAAAAAATCTCAGCCGGGCACCTGTGGCTCAGGCCTGTCATTCTAGCTACTCAGGAGACTGAGATCTGAGGATTGGGGTTCAAAGCCAGCCCAGGAAGGAAAGTCTGTGAGACTCTTATCTCTAGTAAATTACTCAGAAAAAGCCAGACATGGTACCATGGCTCAAGTGATAGTGCTAGCCATAAGCATAGAGAGGCTCAGGGCCCGAGTTCAAGTCTCAAGACTGGAAAAAAAAATCTCTTAGTGAAAAATTTCTAGAGTTGGCCCCACCCACCTTTTTTTTTTTTTGTAATACTGGGATTGAACTCAGGTGGGCTTAAACTCAGGGCCTAGATCTTGCTAGGCAGGTGCTCTATTACTAGAGCCACATCTCCAGCCTCTTTTTTTGCCAGTCCTGGGGCTTGAACTCGGCCTGGGCACTGTCCATGAGCCTTTTTTTGCTCAAGGCTAGCACTCTACCACTTGAGCCATAATACCAATTCCGGTGTTTTCTGTTTATGTGGTCCTGAGAAATCAAACCCGGCGCATCATGCATGCAAGGCAAGCACTCTACCACTGAGCCACCTTCCCAGCCCCATCCAGCCTTTTTTTTTTTTTTTTTTGGGGTCTGGTCGTGGGGCCTGAACTCTGGGCCTGGGCGCTGTCCCTCAGCTCTTCAGCTCAAGGCTAGTGCTCTACCACTTGAGCCACAGCGCCACTTCCGGCTTTTTTCTTTTTGCTTATGTGGTGCTGAGGAATGGAACCCAGGGCCTCGAGCATGCAAGGCAAGCGCTCTACCACTGAGCCACCTTCCCAGCCCTCCAGCCTCTTTTAATGCCAGTTGTTTTCAAGGTAGGGTCTTGCTTTTTGCTCAATCAACCTAGACTACCATCCTCCTATTGGGCTTTCCTGGGGTCTTTGGGATGACAGGCACATGAAACATTGTGTTTCCTTGTGTCTGGGAACAACAGGGAAACACCACTGTGCCCTGCCTTTGGCTGAGATGGAGCCTTGCAAATCACCCACTCCCAACTGGCTTCAAACCTCCCAAGTAGTTAGGATCACAGACTCAGGCCACCATGCCTGGCTTCCTCATCCATCTTCACACAGAGAGCAGCAAACAGCATTCAACCTTTACTTGGTGGTTCAAGGTCACCGAAAGCAGGTCCCTGTTCAGTATAGTGACAGCAGATGCTGTAATGGACCTGTGTCATCCTTAAAAACATGGCAGTCTAGGGGCTGGGAAGGTGGCTCAGTGGTAGAGTGCTGGCCTTGCATGCCTGAGGTCCTGGGTTCGATTCCTCAGCACCACATAAGCAAAAAGAAAAAAGCCGGAAGTGGTGCTGTAGCTCAAGTGGTAGAGCGCTAGCCTTGAGCTGAAGAGCTGAGGGACAGTGCCCAGGCCCAGAGTTCAGGCCCCACGACCGGACCCCCCCCAAAAAAAACAAAACCAAAAAAAAACATGGCAGTCTAAGTTTTTCTGGTGATCTGTAATCCCTCCCTCCCCCCTTCACTGGAACTGAGTACCTTGTCACAGAACTGGCTTGCTACAGTGCCTTCTAAGGACCCGGAGGACTGGCACTGTCACTACCTGAGCCACTGAGCTATTCTTCACTGTCAGGGTCTAAGTCTAATCCCTCTCTTCTTCTTGAATTACCTTTTTTTGGGTCCAGTTGTGGGGCTTGAACTCTGGGCCTGGGCGCTGTCCCTCAGCTCTTCAGCTCAAGGCTAGCGCTCTACCACTTGAGCCACAGCGCCACTTCTGGCTTTTTCTGCTTATGTGGTGCTGAGGAATTGAACCCAGGGCTTCATGCATGCAAGGCAAGCGCTCTACCACTGAGCCAACTTCCCAGTCCCCTTGAATTACTTTTGATCCTGTGAAGGCTTTGGGTGCCCACTGCTCTCTCCTCCATCTTCCCAGGCCTGTGCTCCTCTCCTCTTTGGCCCCCCCATCCCTTCTCTATGCCTGTCATGGCTGGCCCGTTTAAGATGCCACCAACCACTGGACTCCCTTCTTTCTGATCAATACACCAGCCAATCACATTTGAGGGCACTGAGGTCTATGCAGTTTGATACTCAAGTTTCTTCAATCACTGCCCGACAGCTTTGAATTCTTTTTAAATCTACAGATGCCATTCTGAATGTGTGTGGGAGTGGGGAATCTGGGATGTGAATAAGTCATGTGTGTTTCTACAGTTGTCTAAACTACTAGGCAGCTCAACCATAAGCTCTAAACCCCAACACAAGCGTAGGCTTCTGCAGTGGCCATCCTTAGTGTAAGGGTCACTCCATTGCAGGCAAGCAGTTCAGCATGATTTTGACTCAAGAATTTTCTTTTTTATAGGAGTTTCCTAAGGGCCAGCCAGCTGTGCTCCATTATTAGTTAATACTTGTTACATTGTTTTTATTTTCCATTTCTGAATTGAAATCAAGGTTATATAACTTGGATTAATATTTAGCACAGCTGGGCGCCAGTGGCTCATGCCTGTAATCCTAGCTACTCAGGAGGCTGAAATCTGAAGATCGCAGTTTGAAGCCAGCCAGGGCAGCAAGTCCCCATGAGATTCTTATCTCCAGTTAATGGCTCAGAAACCAGAAGTGGTGCTGTGGCTCAAGTGGTAAGAGTGCTATCCTTGAATACAAAGAGGCTCAGGGACAGCATCCAGGCCCTGAGTTCAAGCCCCACAACTGACAAAAAACAAAAACAAAACAAAACTTAGCACAGTTTGCAGTCTGCTCCACACCCCTAAATGAGGTGAGAAGATTGGAGGAAATCTGGGGTCTTCTGAATGGGCCCCCTGGAGGCCTCACCTGGGTGGTGGAGCAGAAAACAGAGTGGCCAGTGGTCACTCTACAGGTACGCTTGCTTCTGCCAGGTGCATGCTGTCCAAGTTATTGCAACTGACAGTGTTAATGCAAATCTGCTGCCCTCTGGGGTCATCTTTTGAGAAATGAGGGCCAGGCTGATTTTCAGCCGGAAAAACATGGAGCTCGAGTCAGGGGTGAGTCATCTGTGTGAGGCTGTGACTTGGTTGTGGGAGCCCCACGGGAGGGAACCCTTCCCTGTGCAACCCTTCCCCCGACATAGGGCTTTGTACTCTTTTATCTGCAAAACCCTTTTGTTGTCGCAGTAACTGGGGCTTGAACTTGGGGCCTTGAGCTCTTACATGGCTTTTCACTCAAGGCTGGTGCTCTACCATTTGAGCCATACCTCACATTGCTGGCATTTTGCTGGCTAGCTAAAGATGGTGTCTCACAGAATTTTTTTGCCTGGGTTGGCTTTGAACTACAGTCCTCTGGATCTCAGCTTCTAGAGTAGCTAGAATTACCAGCACTTAGCTTCTAACTTGAATTTTCTATGATCAATAAAATAAGAGTTGTAAATGCTGTTTGTAGGAGACATTGCTCTCTGCCTCATTAGTTGTTTTGTTCCTAAGCATAAATATATTGTCCCCATTAGTAAAAGAATGTTTTTTTAATTCAACTTAATAAATTGTGGCGAAAGTAGATTTGACTCTGAAGAATATTTCCTGCCGGGCGCCAGTGGCTCAACCCTGTAATTCTAGCTACTCAGGAGGCTGAGATCTGAGGATCACGGTTCAAAGCCAACCCGGGCAGGAAAGTCTGTGAGACTCTTATCTCCAATAAAAAACCACTAGAAAACCGGAAGTGGTGCTGTGGCTCAAGCCATAGAGTGCTTGCCTTGAACTGAAGAGCTGAGGGACAGAGCCCAGGCCCAGAGTTCAAGCCCCACCATTGACAAAAAAAAAAAAAAAAGAATATTTCCCTAGTTAAAGGCTGGGAAGGTGTCTCAGTGGTAGAGTGCTTGCCAAGCATGCATGAAGCCCTGAGTTCGATTTCTCAGTACCACATAAACAGAAAAAGCCAGAAGTGGCGCTGTGGCTCAAGTGGTAGAATGCTAGCTTTGAGCAAAAGAAACTCAGGGACAGTGCCCAGGCCCTGAGTTCAAGCCCCAGGACCAGCACACATACACACACACACACAAAAGAATATTTCCCAAGTTAAAAACAAGAGGGAGACCTCAGCTGACCCTGCTCTCCAGGGAGCCTACATACCAATGTCCCCAGACTCTATGGGCATGGCCACGGTCTGACAGTGTCTTCGACACTGGAAGGGAGGGATGAGCTGCAACATGGCCTCTCCGCTGCCAAGAGTAAATAAGTCATGCACCTTATGCATCTGGAAGAAAGAACGAGGGGAAGGAAGGAAAAGAAAACAGAAGTAAAACTTGGGTAATTAGTTGTTTTTTTTTTGTCGGTTGTGGGGCTTGAACTCTGGGCCTGCGCGCTGTCCCTCAGCTCTTCAGCTCAAGGCGAGCGCTCTACCACTTGAGCTACAGCGCCACTTCTGGTTTTCTGGTGGTTTATTGGAGATAGGAGTCTCATGGTCTCTCCTGCCCGGGCTGGCTTTGAACCGCGATCCTCAGATCTCAGCCTCCTGAGTAGCTAGGATTACAGGTGTGAGCCACCAGCGCCTGGCTAACTTGGGCCATTAGTATACAACAATCCTCACACAGCGCCAATTTCCTCCTAGTCTCAACAAAGAAAAACTGAACCAATAACAAAATTCATAATGAGGCCCAAAAGACATAACAAACAAGTTTCTCCTAAACATGGCATCTCCCAATACTGACTAGGGTAAAAAAATCTCTTTCTTCCATGTATTCCTCTAAAGAGACGCTCATTTACTGGGCAGCTTCATCAGTGAAAACCCAAGAGCAGATACTGATGAACTTCGTCATCCGCAACTATTTCAAGCCGGCCAACAGGAATTCCACTGCAATTTCCTCATCTTCTGGGGAATATACCTGTTCTACCCTCAGCAATCCCTCTCACCGAATTTCACCAAGTGCTAAGTCTTAGTAGAGGCCAACACCTGTGATTTAAGTATATAATCTTCCCAGGATCTGGTTTGACCCAGAATTTTAGATAAACAGATGGTTTGCATACCTGTTGAGCACTCTCCCTGGAATATCATTTGTTACATGGCAGCAAGCTCAAGTTTACACCCTGGCATATCTATACCATCTTACTAATGCAAACCAGTCACAGTAGGCTTGGCCTCTGATGCTGAGGTCAAAAAGGACAAGCAGGGCTGGGAAGGTGGCTCAGTGGTAGAGCACTTGCCTTGCATGCCTGAGGCCCTGGGTTCGATTCCTCAGCACCACATAAGCAAAAAGAAAAAAAGCCGGAAGTGGCGCTGTGGCTCAAGTGGTAGAGCGCTAGCCTTGAGCTGAAGAGCTGAGGGACAGCGCCCAGGCCCAGAGTTCAGGCCCTACGACCGGACCCTAAAAAAAAAAAAGGACAAGCAGAATGTGCACTGACACAACCAAATGCCGTCAGGAGCAGGGAGCAGGGACAAAGGGAGAGAGGGGCCTTGCTCAGGCCTTCTTCCCAGCTCCACCATGCAAGAAAACCCCTAGGGCCTCCTTCCCCTCCACTCCTCTCTCCTCCATCACCTCCTGGCTCTTGACTCAAGAGGCCCTGGCGCTACAAAGCAGAGGTCCCACAACTTGACTACCTGGGCTGAGTTTATCTTTTTTTCCCCATTCTAGGTCTTTCAAGACTTAGGTTTTGGCTTCATCTTCCCCCGTGCCGAACACTGGCCATGATTCTGGCAATACCAAGAGTCATTTCACTGGTTACCATGGTGAAAGGAGGTGGCCTAGTCCATGGAGCCAGCCTGCAGCTGACTGATACTAATACTGGCAGAAGCCTTGATGGCAGCAGTCCTGAAAAAAATCCCAGAAGACCAAGACCAAGTGCTCTGTCCCCTTTTTAGGCCAGAGGGGAACAGGGTCATGCTTTCCCACCCAGGGGGCAAAGACAGAAACAATTTCAGGGCAGCCCTTGGCAACACTGGGCCTCTTCCCCCAGTGCCGTTTAATGACAGAAGCCCCACTGCTTGTCTTCTGCCACTAGGCCGCCTCGTGGTGCTGGGCCCACACACTTGATGCTAAGGCCTAACAATGGGGCGGTGGATGGACAGCAGGGTGGAGAAAGGAGAGCATGGGCCAGGGTGGGGAGACAGCTGCTCTCAGAAACCAGACTCTCAGGATTGTGTCTTTGGGGCCACTCCCCTTCTCCAAACATCCTTCAGAACCATAACAAGATGACTTTGATAAGCACTTCAGTAACTGCGTTCACTCCTTTGGCTTGGTTCCTTGGTGTTAAGTAGGCTGGGGACATTAACTTCAATATTCATGTGGGAAAGCTAAGATAAAGATGAAGGCCCTCGCCCAGAATTATATCATAATTATGAAGATGAAATCCTATCGGGGCCCTGAGTTCTAGCCAGAGACAGCCAGAGCCCAGCACCTCCCGACTGCTGGCAGACAGGAGATCTTACTCCTAGACAAACTGATTGTTTTTATAAGCTTTTGAATTCCTACAACACGATTCAGCAAATTTGGAGCCAAATAACAGCATCAGGAGGTTGAAGACACAACCCAGAGTTGGTAGAGGATTACAGATTGGGAAATTCAAAATTTTCTTTTTTTTGTACAAAAGAAATTCATCCAATTCTTTCAAACCAGTCAAGGTTCAAAAATCTTCCTCAGAAATGAGAACCAGGGCTGGGAAGTTGGCTCAGTGGTAGAGCACTTGCCTTGCATGCTTGAGGCCCTGGGTTTGATTCCTCAGCAACACATAAGCAAAAGAAAAAAGCCAGAAGTGGCACTGTGGCTCAAGTGGTAGAGCGCTAGCCTTGAGCTGAAGAGCTGAGGGTCAGTGCCCAGGCCCAGAGTTCAGGCCCCACGACTGGACCTCCCCCTCTCCCCCCCGCAAAAAATTTACAGAAATGAGAACCAGCAAAAGAACAATGAGAGAAAAGAAAACAAACAATAAAAAACCAAATACAGAACAGCTTTTCCAAGTCTACTGGCCTGCAACCAGTGACAGGGACCAGTGGGTCTTTGCACCTCAGCCAGGCTGCCTGCCTCCTCCGTGCACAGCAAGTCTTCTACACCTGCAAACCTTGACTTGCAAGCCCTGCAACTGAAGGGGGGCTGGGGATTCCTATTAGCCCTACTCTGTGTCCTTGGGGAAATAATTTCATCTCTCTAGGGTTATATTTCCCTACATACAAAATGAGGAAGTTGGAGTCAATCTGGAGGAAAGCGAAGGAAGGGGTGACATTGTTCAAAAAAGAAATGAATTCATTACCTGATTTATGAAATGTTAACCCTTCTGTACACCTTAATAATATAAACATGTAATATATATATATATATATATATATATATATATATATAGTTGTTGTTGTTGTTGTTGGTTGTGGGCCTTGAACTCAGGGCCCAGGGGCTGTCCCTGAGCTTTTTTGCTCAAGTCTAGCACTACTAGTTAGAGCCATAAAGAGTTCCACTTCCATTTTTCTCGTGGTTAATTGGAGATAGGAGGCTCACAGACTTTCCTGCTTGGCTGGCTTTAAACTGTGATTCTCAGATCTCAGCTTCCTGAGTAGCTAGGATTACAGGTATGAGCCACCAGCGCCCGGCTAAAATTGTATTTTAAAGAATGAAAAAGTTAGGCTAGGAATGTGGCTTAGTGGCTTAGAGTACTTGCCTACCATGTATGAAGCCCTGACCCTGAGTTTGATTCAATACCATATAAACTCAATACCATATAAACAGATAAAGCTGGAAGTGTCACTGTGGCTCAATAGGTAGGGTGCTAGCCTTGAGTACAAGGAGACTCAGGGAAAGTGCTCAGGCCTTGAGGTCAAGCCCCAGGACTGGCCAAAAAAAAAGAATGAAGAAGTTGGACTATTCAGTTATGTACTATTTATTAGGGCTCATCTACTTTTTATTTTACTTTATTTATTTATTTATTTTGGGTATGGTTGTGGGGCCTGAACTCTGGGCCTGGGCGCTGTCCGTCAGCTCTTCAGCTCAAGGCTAGTGCTCTACCACTTGAGCCACAGTGCCACTTCTGGCTTTTTTCTTTTTGCTTATGTGGTGCTGAGGAATTGAACCCAGGGCCTCATGCATGCAAGGCAAGCGCTCTACCACTGAGCCACCTTCCCAGCACCCTCATCTACTTTTTAATTTGAGATGGAGAAGTCAGGCTAACTGCCTATTCAAGTCCCTTCACTTTTTAAGATTCCACTCCCTTGAATACAGAAAAGTAGCTTGCCCCAGGTGTTACGGACAGGACAGGAAACAGATCTGGTATGGTAAGGAGACTTTCTGGGAAACTGCTTCCGTAACCTGGCACCAAGTCTCCTGGTTACCAGCAGGAGGGGAGAACTTCAGACTGTGGGCACTCCTCTGCCCACTTTCTAAATTGATGTGCAGGGAAGGATTTGACTATAACATCAGTCCAGGTCCCAAATGAGGAAAATCCTAGATCCAGGTCCTCTTAAAAAAATGTCCTACCTTACTTCCCACAACAGGCTCTGGGTGGAGACGGAAGCACTTTTTTAAGGAGGCATCTTTTGGAAACGGCAGATGGTTAAAAACAGGAAAAAGTTCGTGTAAAATTTGTGATCTGTTCAGAGGTCTTCTCCTGTAAAGTTTGAGCAGAGAAAAAGACACTATTTGGGGTCAGCCAGCCTTTCTGCAGGACAAACAGAGCCAAGCAGGGTGGGGAACACAGAGGAGCGAAAAGAGAGCAAAACAGCAGTATAATGTCCTAAGTATTAGGTCCACAAAGAACAGTGTGTGCAGTCAACGGGTGATAAATGCGCACACATACACAGATACAGATGTACTCTACTGCCACCATTTGTATGCGCGGGTGGATTGTTTATAAAATCCAGCTGAAACAACATATAAGGGGAAGAAACAATCTCCTTGATCTGTCTTGGAAAAGAGGCTAAAGGGCAAGGAAAGGGAAGTGAGGAGAGAAGAGAGGTGGAGGGGATAAAAAGCATAATCCTCTGTTGGGAGCAGATGGGGCAAGGGAGCCCACTTAACTTATTAAACTAAGCATTCTATCACAGAAATAAATGGCAAGTTTTAAGAAAGGTGGAGGAGCCCAGGAGCCAGTGGCTCATGCCCATAATTGTAGCTACTCAAGGAGGCTGAGATCTTAGGATGATAGTTGGAAGCCAGCCTGGGAAGGAAAGTCTGTGAGATTCTTATCTCCAATTAACCAAAAAGCCAGAAGTAGAACTCAAGTGACAGAACACTAGCGGTGAGCAAAAAAGCTCAGGGACAGCACCTAGGCCCCGAGTTCAAGCCCCAGGACCAGCACAAAAGAATGAACAAACGAACAAATGAAAGGAAGAATGAAAGGTGGAAGCCTTAAAAAAAATATCCAACAAGCCGGGCACCGGTGGCTCACGCTTGTAATCCTAGCTATTCAGGAGGCTGATATCTGAGGATCGAAGTTCAAAGCCAGCCCAGGCAGGAAAGACCGTGAGACTCCTATCTCCAATAAACCACCAGAAAAACTGGAAGTGGCGCTGTAGCTCAAGTGGTAGAGCGCTCGCCTTGAGCTGAAGAGCTGAGACAGCGCTCAGGCCCAGAGTTCAAGCCCCACAATCGACCAAAAAAAAAAAAACATCCAACAAAATATCTGAAAAAGCAATTTTAGTCCTCTGAAAGGATTCTGCATGGAAGCGGGCCTTCCTTGTCTTGCTGGAGGGCAGCTACTTCATCTGTGAGCTCCTCTCTCATGACTGGAAGCTAGGAGATGCCTACTGCGTACGGGTAGGTGCCTCACCCAAGGGACCTGGTGGCTCTTGCTGCTTGGACACATGGCCTACGTCTTTCCTACACACAAGCTTAGCGCGTTCATACTCACCATGGGTAAGGGAATGGGAACCACCGCTCAGGAAAACAACGCCGCCACTTGGCGAAAACCCCTTCCGTGAAGCCTTCTGTTGCCTCGGGGTACTGGCACAGGAAGTGCTGCATCTCCTCAGACATCACAGGCTGGCCCGTCTTGGCAAGGAGGAAGGGAAACAAGAACAAGTTTATGACAGTAAATTATGGGGGTCTTGATCCAGCCCTGGAATGGGAGCCAGCCTGGAGAGAAGCAGGCCTCTGCTCACCTTGATAACCAGAGGATGGAGGCCATCAAAGTTCTTCGGGGCATCTTCCACAAGTACCACCTTGAGGGGCAACTGGTGAGCACAGCCGGTGCAGTCGGCAGGGACCGTCTCTGACCGATTCTGCTCACAGTTGTTGGTCCAAATCTGAGAGAAGTCAAAATCTAAATGGGAGGTGGGGAAGTAAATACAGGTAGTTAGCTTGGGATAAAGGTAGACAGTTACATGTAACTTTTCACATGTAAGCAGCGAGGAACAATGGACGGCTCTGCAAAGGTACAGGAAAAACAGAAAAACAAGCACCCTCTGACAAAAGAGGGCCCAGAGGCCAGGGCTGGGAGAGCATTTGCTTCTGCAGCTTTTCTATGCTCTGTGTCCATGTTAGCATGCATGTGCATTTCCTTCATCAGATCAGTAGATTGAGGAGTGACAGCTGGAGGAAGCATTCAGCAATTCAGTCCGAATGTTTTCCAAACTGGGGCCAGGAGTCTGGAATGTCTAGGGCACAACAGGAGTGGCATTCCTGGTGGTTCTATATCACCAACACATCCTGATGCTTGTCACCTTGCACACTCTGATGTACAAACGCACTAGTGGGAGCCAAGACAACTCTCAGAAGGTGTGAAGAAAGGGCAGGAAGAGGGCAGGGTTGGGGAAGCTACAGTCAGTTGTTGAGGGTATCTTTGGTATACAGTGAATTGCCTATGCCCATACGACAATGTCCAGAATGAGTGACACTACTAATAATCATTGACCTGAACTCCATAATTGATCAATTAATCAGCAGGTTGATTAGAAGGAAGACCCCTGCCTGATACCCTCTCTGGGTGCCTCTGAAGGTCTTGCTTTCATAGTTTTTCTCTGTTCCTCTCCCTTGTCAGTATCCTGTCCAGAAAGCTACTCATTATTTCTTGTTTACTTTCCGATCCGTTTTGGGTTTCATCTGTGTTCTTGAAGAGTTGTGTTTGTTTTAAACTCTAAGTTGAATCCAAAATGTTTCACAAGATGGTTCTGATTAAAACCTAATAGAACCAATCAGGGGAGCGCCTAAAACAAAGGGCAACAGACAACCCAATTGGGCCAAAACACTATCGATTTTTTTTAAATCAATAAAGACACTTGGGAATTATCTGTTAATCACAAAACATTCCAGTAATCAGCAGTGAACATTTTGTTTTCTCCCCCCACCCCCATTTTTTATTTTGCATCAATTAGTTACCCAGGATTTTTTTTTTTTTTGTGGGTGGTGGGGCTTGAACTCTGGGATTGGGTGCTATCCCTGTGCTCTTCAGCTCAAGACAAGCGCTCTAACACTTGAGCTACAGCACCATTTCCAGTTTTCTAAGTGGTTAACTGGAGATAAGAGTCTCATGGACCTTCCTGCCCGGGCTGGCTTTGAACCATGATCCTCAGATCTCAGCCTCCTGAGTAGCTAGGATTACAGGAGTGAGCCACTGGCGCCTGGCTTGCCAGGATCTTTTATTTTACCCTTTCCATATATGTATGCAATGAAACCTGATTAGACTCACTCCCTCTAGCTCTTCCTTTACCTGCTTCCTGCTTCCTACACCAATCTCAACAGGCTTCACTGTGTCAGTGTACACATGGAGTAAAGCATTTTGACCATATTCACCCTCCACCCTGGCCATTCACCCTACTTCCTCTCATTAGTACCCATGCCCCAGACAGGGACTGTCTTAAACTCTTGCTATTTATTTATTTATTTATTTAGGGTCTGGTCGTGGGACCTGAACTCTGGGCCTGGGTGCTGTCCCTCAGCTCTTCAGCTCAAGGCTAGCGCTCTACCACTTGAGCCACAGCGCCACTTCCGGCTTTTTTCTTTTTGCTTATGTGGTGCTGAGGAATCGAACCCAGGGCCTCAGGCATGCAAGGCAAGCGCTCTACTACTGAGCCAACTTCCCAGCCCATTTGCTATTTATTTCTTAAGTACTGTTAACCTTTCAAAGGGGTCTTGCCAGGCTATTTCATATAAGTGTATACCATACTTTAATCAGACTGACTCCTTCATTTATTCTCACAGAAACTAAGTACTTGATTGGCTAAGCAATGCTTTTTTTTTTTTTTTTGGTTGGTCTTGGGGCTTGAACTCTGGGCCTGGGCACTACCCCCGAGCTCTTCAGCTCAAGGTAGTGCTCTACCACTTAAGCCACAGTGCCACTTCTGGTTTTCTGGTGGTTTACTGGAGATAAGAGTCTCACAGAGGTGCTGGGAAAGTGGCTCAGTGGTAGAGTGCTTGCCTTGCATGCATGAGGCCCTGGGTTCGATTCCTCAGCATCACATAAGTAAAAAGAAAAAAGCCAGAAGTGGCGCTGTGGCTCAAGTGGTAGAGTGCTAGCCTTGAGCTGAAGAGCTGAGGGACAGTGCCCAGGCCCAGAGTTCAGGCCCCATGACCAGACCTTCCCCCCGCAAAAAAAAAAAAAAAAGAGTCTCACAGACTTTCCTGCCCAGGCTGGCTTTGAACGATGATCCTTAGATCTCAGCCTGAGTAGCTAGGATTACAGACGTGAGCCACCAGCGCCCCACCAATGCCTGTTTGTTAGATTGCGTGGAAAGCATTTGGTTTTCTTTAAGGCAGGGAAATCCTCCTGGGGAAGGGTTACAATTGTTCTCCCAGTCTCTCCTCCATATCCTGCCAACAGTCTCAGGGTTTCCCAGAGGCAGCGGCCCTGCCTCTCTCAGCCAGTCCAGGTTTGTGGGCAGATTTCAACCTCTGTGGCACCCCTCTAATACAAGGGGGACTCTCTTCCAATGGCTCTCCAGGGGCATCCAGGGCCAACCACAACTCTCCATGCCACTTCTTTCAGTAGTACATTGGGACTGTGATTTTATTTTTCTTTCTGTAATATTTTCAAATGGTCCTTATGAGGGGTCAAGCATAAATCCTTTCAAAATAAAGAAATCTGGGTAATGGACACACAATGTGATTGAAAAGGAGAAAAACTGCATGCGATAGCCACGGCTATCTTCCTAATTCTCACACTGATTTGGAATCATTTCAATTCGAAATGTCACAAAACAGCTCTTCAGACCAAACCCAGCTTTGCCTGGAAGTCCTGGTGGTGTAATCGCCCACCCTTCCCGGGGAGTTGGGTACAATGAAAAAAAGTGGGTGGGCAGAGAGCTGATCTTCAGGAGGCTTCCTGGTAACCAACAGTTGTTTACAAAGAAAAGTTACTCCGAGGGCTCACCATGCACAGCATAGCATACCCTGAAATTTTCAGTGGTGAGGAGCTGTTCACAGATTACTAACCTGGAAAAAAGAATTTTTTTTAAAGATTTCTTTCTAGGACAAAAGCTTCTGTCTGTAAAAATAACAGGGAAGAAAGAATGGGGGTGGAGGGAAGTAGAGGTGTGGTTCAAGTGATAGAGCTCCAGCCTAGAACAAAAATGCCAATCTGAGTGTGCATGAGGCCCTAAGTTCAAGCCCCAGTACCAGCACAAAAGGAAGGAAAGAAGGGGAAGAGAGGGAGGAGAGAGCGGGAAGATGCTCGTTCACCGAGAATAAAGGGCTGTCTGTGTTGGTCAATGCTCTGTTAAGAACAGAGCCTGGCACACAGTAGGGTCTCTCCAAGAAGAAATTATGTAGAATCTCCCTCAACCTTTTTTTTTGAATCTTTAACAATAGGACTAAATGAATGGGAAGAAAAACTAGATGAGCAGCATGAATTCACAGGATCTCAAAATAAAGCTGAAGTGAATGATCTTAGGTTAGAGGTCCCCATAAAAACCTGCAAAGCTCACGACAAAGGCCCCTGGCTCTCACTGGTATGTGCTATTTAATCAGGCTACTCTGCCACGCTTGTGTTGCACAGCACTTCCTCTAACACCCTGGCTTTTGCCAGGTCCCCTGCATGGAGGGCAGCATGCCAGGAACCCTTTCACACACACAGGAACAGAGGAGACCAAGAGCACATAGTCGTTCTGTCTTCCTGAGTCCTCACTTGTAAAACTCTGTCTCCAGAGGTGAGTCTACTTTCTTTCCAAACGCCATGCAAAGCAGAGTCCCACAGCGGAAAATGGTGCACCTATAACCCACATTTACAATAAAATGGCACTTCGTTACACTGACAACATTAAAGAGCTAAAACCACACTCTCCAATGTTCGCCTTAAGACTGAGCACCAGGACTCACTGGATTTCCATCTGAAGGCAAAATACTAATTTGAAGCAGAGTTATCCAGATCGCTGATGAGACACTGGAGTTTCTTCAACTTTAAAACATGATTTCAAGTAGGAGTAATCAGTCCCTTTATGATCCGAATTTTTTCACCACAGAGCTCATGGAACAAAGAAAGTAAATGCCATCAGCTGGCTCCTGCTGGCTTTATCCCTGGGACAAAGAGCGGAAGCTGCTGAAAGGCAGGGGAGACAGCCAGGAAGGGCTGGAAGAGACAGCACGGCTGGCCTCACTGATAAGGCTCTCTGGCTCTTTCTTCCAGATGCCCCAAACTTTGCTGCCAGAAATGCCACTGTTTTTGATGGTACAGGGATGTGAACTTAGGGCCTTACACTTGCTTGCCTTATTTGCTCTGCTGGTGCTCTACCGTTTGAACCATGCATGTCTCCAACTTTGCTGTTTGCTGGTTATTTTGGAAATGGAATCTAGTGGAATTTTCTGCCTCAGGAGGCTTCAAACTGTGATCCTCGGGCTGGGAAGGTGGCTCAGTGGTAGAATACTTGCCTTGCATGCATGAGGCTCTGGGTTCGATTCCTCAGCACCACATAAGCAGAAAAAGCCGGAAGTGGTGCTGTGGCTCAAGTGGTAGAACACTAGCCTTGAGCTGAAAAGCTGAGGGACAGCACCCAGGCCCAGAGTTCAGGCCCCACTACCAACCAAAAAAAAAAAAAAAAGACGTTATGATTACAAGAGCTTAGATGAAAGTAACCACTTTTTTTTTTCCCCTGAAAATATACTTTCTCAAAGTTATCATGGCTCCAAAAGGTTCCAGAATAGAGTTATGCAAAACAATTCTATAATCCATTTATGGTATGAATGTATATGACCCTCCATACGAATAAGCCACCTCAGGGGCTGGTGGGCACTTCCCTAGGATACATAGGCTCAGGGCTCAATCATCATCACCAAAAAAAGAAAAGAGAAGAACTTTCTTTCAAGTTCCCCAAACAATGTCTCTATTCTTTCTCAAAACGTAAATCTCAAGTCTTATCATGTTATATTATTCTCAAAAGGAAAGGGACTGTCAGATTAGGAATTCCCTGCTATTGATGCACTGTTACTAAATTTAAATGTTCCTTAAATTCAGCTTCCTGGTAAAACTGATACACTTCGGAGAACTAAATTAAGTGAACTGTGGCAGAAAGAGCAGGCTAAAAATGTGGGACACACCTAAAAAGCTAGCACAATAGGCTCAGGATTGGTAGAGGATCTAGCTAAAAGTAGCTGCTTTCAGTGCACTGTTAGCTCTACTAACTACCCACCATGCATACAGATCAAGGAGAGGAGACAGAAAAAGAGAGGCAAATCTATGCAAAGGACTTATATCTCCAATGTGTTCTAGAACTAACAGGATTGTATTTGGCTCTATCCGATGGGTTTTTCTGCCAAATGTCTTTATTTTCCTGAGCCTCAATTGCCCTATCTATAAAATATGGATAGTAAAACTCAATCCTAAAGAGTTTTAATAGGAACTGAATTAAATAAAAAAATACAAAGAATATGTAGCAATAAATGTTATTCCCTTTCCCACCAAACACTGTGAAGGAAATGATCTCACAGGAAGCAAACACAGCACATTACCTGGAAAGGGTCTGTCTTGATCAATGACTTGTGGAGGAGCCCCTTTATTTTCCGGCATATACTTCTTGGTAATGGGCAAGGACATCAGCCGAATGTGATGGAAGAGTGAGCGCCAGGTATGAGCTCCAGAAAGCCCAGGTTCGGGTGCTAATGGGCTGAAAGGCTGAATCACAAGGTAGGCAGAGAGCAAAATGAAGCCCAGAGTTATGAGGACCTACCAGGAAAGATGGTGAATGGATTAGTAAGTGTACTAGCAAACAAAATACCTTAATGACAAGAAAAACAAAACCAAACCAGTCCTCTTCCATTCCTAGTGCCTTAAGAACTAATCTGTTTTCAAAATTAAGCCATTTATTTTCACTTCTAAAGGCATTCAAAGTTGAACTTCAAGGTTCACCAAACTTCTGTTACTCAATTGGGGGTTATGGCACCACTTAAAACACACACACAGCTGGGCACTGGTGCCTCACGCCTGTAATCCTTGCTACTCAGGAGGCTGAGATATGAGGATCATGGTTCAAAGCCAGCCCAGGCAGGAAAGTCTTTGAGACTCCAATCTCCAATTAACCACCAGAAAACTGGAAGTGGCGTTGTGGCTCAACTGGTAGAGTGCTAGTCTTGAGCACAAGGAGGTCAGGGACAGTGCAGGCCCAGAGTTCAAACTTCAGGTGCTAGTGGCTCATGTCTGTAATCCTAGCTGCTTAGGAGGTTGAGATCTGAGGATTGCCGTTTGAAGCTAGCCATGAGTCTGTGAGACTCATCTCCAATTAACCACCAGAAACTGAAGTAGCGCTGAGGCTAGAGCACTAACTATGAACAAAAGAGCTCAGGACCAGTGCCCTGGCCCTGAATTCAAGTCCTAGCACCAATAAAATACACACTCAGATTAATTCTAAGCACACAGCTTTTACTTATGCTCTGCCTATTAACAACAGTCAGATTTCCTAGTAGTACATGGTAGTAGAGCAAAGGCTGATTTTTTTTTTGACCGGGGGTGGAGATGGGGATGGGGGGGAGAGGAGGTCATGGGGCTTGAACTCAATGCCTGGGTGATGTCCCTGAGCTCATTCACTCAAGGCTAGTGCTCTACCACTTTAAGCTCACGGCACCACTTCTGGATTTTTCATTTTTTTTTTTTTGTCGGTCGTGGGGCCTGAACTCAGGGCCTGGGCGCTGTCCCTCAGCTCTTCAGCTGAAGGCTAGCGCTCTACCACTTGAGCCACAGCGCCACTTCCGGCTTTTTTTTTCTGCTTATGTGGTGCTGAGGAATCGAACCCAGGGCCTCAGGCATGCAAGGCAAGCGCTCTACCACTGAGCCATTTTCCCAGCCCACTTCTGGATTTTTCTGTTTATGTGGTACTGAGGAATCAAATGCAGGGCTTTATGCATGCTTGGCAAGCACTCTACCACTAATCCACATTCCCAGTCCCGCAAAGGCCGATTCATGCGCAGAAAACCCAAGGTTCTGTGGTAGGATGTATCAATAGAAACACTTGGGACGTTACTGGAGTTTATGCTGTAAGTGCTTTACCTTATACACAGCAATCAAAAGAGGATACTGGGGTGGCCCCCGCTGAGGTTCATTCTTTTCCAGCAGCTGTCTGATAAATTTTTCAATGGCTTTCTCAGACATACCACATTGATGGCCTGTCTGTCTCACCAAATCAACAGTCTCTGAAAGTTTGTCATAAATGCTGATTTCATTAGCAGCAAGATCCATGTCTTCCAACACAAAATCCCTGAGAGAGAATACAAATGAAAAGAGAAAGCTGACTTCTTTAGAGTACTTCCTCCCCAAAGCTGCTTCCTTTACAGCAAGGCCTCTCCACCTCCTCAGGGAGGATCAGTTTTGTGTTGTCCCCAGTCGATTGCAAACACAGTGGGTATGTTGCGAGAATATAAAACGGTTTCATGTACAGATTTTGGTTGATCGTGGGGCTTGAACTCTGGGCTTGGGCACTGTCCCTGCACTCTTCAGCTCAAGGCAAGCACTCTACCGCTTGAGCCACAACACCACTTCCACATGTACAGATTTATTACTATTTATTGTGTGTGTGTTTGAGGTAGTGTTTCACTATGTTGTACAGACTGCTCTCAAACTGAAGAGCTTAAACAATCCTCCTGCCTCAGCCCCCAGAGCAGGTGGGACTACAGCAATGCACCACCATGCCTAACTTATGTGTAAGTTTTTAAATGTTACTTATCTGTGTAACCGTGTACTAGAAACAGTTTATCCACGGGCACTGGCCTCCTGAACACTTTGAGGAGCACTGGTCTGGTTCATAATAAATCCTTGAGATTCTGAAGCACTAATGGCATCCAAAAAGATTTCTAAGGCCAATTAGAGATCTGCTACTGGTCATTTACTCAAAAAAAAAAAAAAAAAAAAAAGAGTGGAATGTAGATAATGATACTGACCACTTATTTCCTTGCAGTTACACCAGATATCTTTCAACAACCAAAAGGAAAAATTGATCTGGGAAGGTAAGATTTACTGTGAGGAACATGCTGAGAAGCTTTGCTTCTGGCCAGAGCAAGAACTTCAGACAATACCAAGCTCTTCACGTGGCCCTTGCAGCTTGTAGGCCCAGAGCCTTCCCACAATTTTAGACAATAAAGGGCATTTTATTTGTATTGTGTATTTAAAAGACCCAAGATCGACATTAATTTCATTATTCAATTTGTGAACTGTAATACTTTTTAGTTAATGAAGATTGACTCACAGTGGCTTCAGATAAAAGGATTAAACTTAAGCAGCAGAGTAGAGTTCTCTCAGCATAATTTGTACAATGAAATTAGATAGGGGCTGGGAAGGTGGCTCAGTGGTAGAGTGCTTGCCTTGCATGCATGAGGCCCTGGGTTCAATTCCTCAGCACCACATAAACAGAAAGAGCTGGAAGTGGCACTGTGGCTCAAGTGGTAGAGCGCTAGCCTTCAGCTGAAGAGCTGAGGGATAGCACCAAGGCCCAGAGTTCAGGCACAAAGACCAACAACAACCAAAAAGAAAAGAAAATAAAAGAAAAGAAATTAGATAATAGTTCTTTTCATGAGGAAGAAAAAAGCCTCTTGGGCACTGATGGCTCAGGCCTGTAACCCTAGTGACTCTGGAGGCTGAAATCTGAGGACTGCAGTTTGAAACCAGCTGAGGCAGGAAAGTCCAGGAAACTTTATCTCCAATTGACTACCAAAAAGCTGGAAGTGGATCTGTGGCTCAAGTGGTAGAGTACTAGCCTTGAGCAAAAAAATCTCAGGAACAGTGCCAAGGCCCTGAGTGCAAGCCCAGGCCCTGCACAAGAAAAGAAGACAAAACGTAAGGTTGATATTGTCTTCTACTGGGCTGTTTTGTTTATTTGCTTTGGTAGTACTGGGAGTTTTCCAGCCCTTGTCTCTTTCTTCCCTCCTTCCTGAAGATCTTCTTATATATTTCATTCTCAAAGTGTTTCTAAACCTTGCTAAGCACTAAGTGGTAGCCATGTTCAGTAGGAAGATGCTGCCACCTGTAGGGTAGAGATGACAGTCATGTGTCTAGGGCAGAGGCCCTAAACTTTCACACACACAGGAGAATGCCTCCTGTCCCAGCAGATCACTCCCAGAACTCCTTTTGCTCTTACTCAGTGTTTTGTTTTATTTTGTTTTTAAAGACTGCATGGCCCTCACTTCAGGGTTCAAATAAAATTTAGAACCTTCATTTCAGGCTCAGAATTTGATGAAAATTCTCTTAAAAAAATATGTATCCTTGGTAAAGGGTGTATGCAGTTCAGTGGTAGAGCCCTTCTTACAGATGTCCTGGGTTCAATGCCTAGTACAAAGAAAATAAGAAAGGAAGAAAGGAAAGAAGGAAGGAAGGAAGGAAGAAAGGAAGGAAGGGAGGGAGGGAGGGAGAAAGGGAAGAAGAGAGAGAGGGAGGGAAGGAAAAAAAAGGAAAGGAAGGAAGTGGGGAGGGAGGGAGAGAAAGGAAAGGAAAAGGGAAAAGAAAAGGAAAAGGGAAAAGGAAAGGGAAAGGGGCTGGGAAGATAGCTCAGTAGTAGAATGCTTGTCTTGCATGTATGAGGCCCTGGGTTGGATTCCTCAGCACCACATAAGCAGAAAAAGTCAGAAGTGGCACTGTGCCTCTAGTGGTAGAGCGCTAGCCTTGAGCTGAAGTGCTGAGGGACAGCGCCTAGACCCAGAGTTCAGGCCCCACGACCGAAAAAAAAAATAATAATATAAAGAAAAGAAAAGAAGGAGGGAAGGAGGGAAGGAGGGTGGAAGGGAGGGAGGGAGGGAGGGAGGGAGGGAGGGAGGGAAAGAAAGAGGAAAGGAAAAAAGGAAAACGACAGCTATTCAATGGGAGAAAAAATTTGTAAATCATGGGCTGGGAAGGTGGCTCAGTGGTGGAGCTCTTGCCTGCATGCATGAGGCCCTGGGTTCGATTCCTCGGCACCACATAAGCAAAAAGAAAAAAGCTGGAAGTGGCGCTGTGGCTCAAGTGGTAGAGCTCTAGCCTTGAGCTGAAGAGCTGAGGGACAGCGCACAAGCCCAGAGTTCAGGCCCCACGACTGGACCCCCCCACACACACAAAAAATTGCAAATCGTATATCTGATAAGGGCAAGATATTCAGAATACATGAATAATTCTTAAAAATCAGTAAGAAGACAACCCAACCCCACTCAATACTGCCTGTCATTCCACCATTAATCATAGTGCCTCTGTCTAGTGTGAGCAGGTGTAAACATTTATTAAAGGCTTTCTAGGTAACTCTAATGTACAGCAGAGCCGAAAACCAGTGACCTATTTATAGAGATATAAAGAGGAGCAAAAATCTCACAACCTTTCTTCTTTCTTTTCCTCCTTCCTTCCTTCTCTCTCTCTCTCTCTCTCTTTCTCTCTCCATACTGGGGATTAAACTCAGGGTCTCATGCACTCAACTAGGCATTACTGGTTCACAGCTGGCACTCCAATACTTGAGCTTTCTGATGGTTAGTTGGAGATTAGTTTCATGGACTTTTCTGCTTTGAACTTCAGGCATGAGCCACCTGTGCCCAGTCTGTGGCCTGAAGGAACATCACTGTGTGCAAGTGCAGTCAGAGATGTGCAACAATGCATATTCTTGTTACCCCTAAGTGATTCCTAAAAGAAGGGCAGAATGATAACTCATTATAATATTTCTCACAAAGCAGGGCACCAGTGGCTCATGCTTCTAAAATCCTAGCTACTCAGCAGGCTGAGATCTGAGGATCACGGTTCAAAGCCAGCTTGAACAGGAAAGTCTGTGAGACTCTTATCTCCAGTGTGCTGTGGCTCAAAGTAGTAGAGCATTAGCCTTGAGCACAAAAGCTCAGGGAAAGCACGCAGGCCATGAGTTCAAGCCCCGTGACTGACTGCCCCCCTCCCCACAAAATCTCACAAATTGCTTTTGCAACCAGAGACAGCATTTTCCTGTGGAAATTGGAGAACTTTTAGGGATAGAGATGATCTTTTGGCATACTACAAATTGAATGTAATGTTAATTATATAACAACAACAACAAAAAGCTTGCCCCTTAAAAAAAATCAACCATAAAGTCATGGCTAAGCGTCAAGCATGAAGGGGCTAAGGGGGACGTCTTGATGGTGATCCATTTACCTCCAGAAAGAAGGTCCAACTCGGGCAGAAGTAAGCTTGGTCACAGGAAATTCGGAAGCGTGAGCACGACTCTAACAGTAGTTTAAACCTGCAAAAACATAGGCAGGATTACCAGTGGGATTATTAAATTCAAGGCACCACACACAGCCTGGACATCCAGTCGTCCCTCCTTATCCATGGGGCACACGTTTCAAGATACCCAGTAGATGCTGAAACCACAAGACAGTACTGAATGCAGGTGTAACATGCTTTCCCCATAATTATGATAAAATGGAATTCCTAAATTAAGCACAGTAACAGCATACTAATCAATAATAAAACTGTTGAATACAGTCCACGTGTTCTTTTCCCTGTGATGGTGAGATGGTAAATGCCCACGAGACACTGTGGGGTGAAAGATGGAGAGACATTACACCATTAGCCACGAGTCTGGGATGGGATGCTGCTTGAACATGAGCATCGAAGTGTTGTGACAATCATTAATATAGATAGCTATTAAGTGTCTAAAGGGTTAGTAGTATTACTAATACACTCCCAGAACCACTGGAGTCAAGATGATAAACACGAAGATAAAGAATTGTCTCAGCAAGGCAAACTACTTCTGCAGAAGGGTATGCCATCAGACAAAACTCTGGCAAGCAGGCACACACAGCAGGCAGGCTGCTCCATTATGTATCCCTAACACAGCAGGCCCTGCCCCTCTGCTCAGGGCGGTTGAGCTATGGCTTATAACCTGCTGATTGGCTAGTTTGAATAAACTGTATTTACATAAGATGTCTTTGAAATAAAATTATCAGTACACAAGTAATCTCAACATATACCTGCACCCCCTTCTATTTCTTAAGCAATCTGAGATGTGTTCTTAAGTCCATTTTGAAAGGAAATCAGTTTAAGACAAATCTTATATTTCAAAAGATCCTCCTTTATCCCAAAGGTTTTCCTCTTTTCCTTACCAAGAACTAAGCCAGCAGGCCAAAGAAAAAACTTTTAGGAAACACATTTTGGTTCAAAAAAAAAAAAAGAGGGTTGGGAAGGTGGCTCAGTGGTAGAGCGCTTGCCTTGCATGCCTGAGGCCCTGGGTTCGATTCCTCAGCACCACATAAGCAAAAAGAAAAAAGCAGGAAGTGGCGCTGTGGCTCAAGTGGTAGAGTGCTAGCCTTGAGCTGAAGAGCTGAGGGACAGCGCCCAGGCCCAGAGTTCAGGCCCCACGACTGGACCCCCTCCCCCAAAAAAAGATAGTTTTTCTCACAATAGCCAGAGATATTCACAGCTGGACACACTGAACAAGGATGATAGGTGTGTCAGGTCAGCATGAGATTTCATCATACTACTCAGAATGGCACATGACACACACTGCTGATTAAAAGCATGGTCCAGCCAGGTGCTAGTGGCTCACGCCTGTAATCCTAGCCACTCAGGAGGCTGAGATCTAAAGATCACAGTTCAAAGCCAGCCGGGGCAGGAAAGTCCATGAGACTCTGATCTCCAATTAACCACCAGAAAACCAGAAGTGGTGTTGTGGCTCAAGTGGTAGAGCACTTGCCTTGAGCTGAATTGCTGAGGGACAGCGCCCAGGCTTAGAGTTCAAGCCCCACAACCAACAAAATAAATAAATAAATCAAAATAAATAAAACCATGCTCCACTGCTTTAGAATACTTCTTCCCAGCAATGTGTTACTTTGCTTTTCACGAGCATTTGGTGATGTCTAAAGATATTTTTGACTTGCAACTGGAGGGGTCCTGGCATCTAATGGGCAGAGATTAAACATGTGCAGGGCAGCTCTCACAACAAACCTGTCTTGCTCAAAATGGTTAAAGAGCTGAAGTGGAGAAAGTCAGTTTTTTAGGAGAGGTCTATGGGAGGTGAGCCAGGGAGCTGCTTCACCTCTGAAAGAGCACTTCAGGAATGGGGACTGGCAGCTCCCCAAGTCTTTAGTCTGTCTACAAGGGAACAGGTCAAGACAGTGCTAATACAATGAACCCTGAGAGAAATGTTTGTCTAAAGGCAGACACTGGTGGCTCACATCTGTAATTCTAGATACTCAGAAAGCTGAGATGTGAGGATCATGGTTCAAAGCCAGATAGGAAAGTCTGTGAGATTGCTATTGCCAATTTACCACTAAAAAGCCAAAGTGGACCTGTAGTTCAAAAGTGTTAGAGCACTAGCCTTGAGCATAAAAGCCCAGGGACACTGCCCAGGCTTTGAGTTCAAACCTCAGAACTAGCACCAAAAATCAAAAAGTACAATCAAGGGAATTTTTTTTACTTAACCATCATTTGAATCAAAGGGTCCTCTTTCTAGACATCTTTGCCATAAGACTTCTTCACTGTCTGAAAATATGCCCCTTCCTAATTCAGAGAGAAAACAGCCATCAAATGGATGCGTTCTCAAGTCTGTATTTTCTCTAAAAATTTCAAACTTCTGGGGCTGGGAAGGTGGCTCAGTGGTAAAGTGTTTGCTTTGCATACATGAGGCCCTGGGTTCAATTCCTTAGCACCACATAAGCAGAAAAAGCTGGAAGTGTAGAGTGCTATAGTTTTGAGCTAAAGAGCTGAGCGACAGCGCCCAGGCCCAGAGTTCAGGCCCCATGACTGATAAAAAAAAAAAAAAATTCAAACTTCTAGAAAAAGTAAGTATGATGGACATTTATGTATCTTTCACTTAGATTCATCAAATGTGAACATTTGTCCATACCTGCTTTCTCAGTTTTTAGGAGAACTCAAAAGTTAGTTGCAACACATCATGAAATCACTTTTAAATATTTCAGCATACATCTCCAAAGAAGGACATTTTCTATTAATTATGAGCATTATTATCATTACCGTTAAAATTAATAACTCTATTACCTAATACTCAGCCCATAGTCAAATTTCCCATTATACACGTGAATGCACACACATGTACAGACATATACAAAATATACATTTTAAAAAATCCAAGCTCCACAAAAGTGGGAACTCCAAGATTTAACTAAAGACCATATACTGCATTTGGCTATTGTCTTTTTTTTTTTTTGGTCTGGCCTCGGCCCTGTCCCTCAGCTCTTCAGCTCAAGGGGAAAGCTCTACCACTTAAGCCACAGCACCACTTCTGGCTTTTTCTGTTTATGTGGTGCTGAGGGCCTCAAGGCATGCAAGGCAAGGGCTCTACCACTGAGCCACCTTCCCAGCCCTGGCTATTGTCTCTTTTGTCTACTCAATATAGTTGTCCCAGCTTTATTTACTTGTTTACCTTGGCCTTTTATAACTTGACATATTTGAAGCAGATGTCTCCACATTTTCAAACTTGCCTCTATCTGCTCCCATTGCCACTTTTCCCCGTTTCTCATATGAGGAACTAGTAATCCTTCCCCTTTATGTTTCTAGCGCTCTGACCCCTCTCGCTCTCATCAGACAAGGTGGGGCAAGCACCTCACTTGCTGCCTGTTTCTTTGGTCTCCGTCTGCTCATTAACCCGCAGAAACGACCCATCTGCCCTCCCAAAGGTCACCAATGGCTTTCCCAATGCCAAGTGCACAGGACACTTCACTTTTTACCCTATCTGACTCCTCGGCAGCAGCTGCCCATCTTCCCAAGTGTTCTCAAACCCTGGCAGGTCTGTCCTGTTCTCCTGCCAAAGACTAGCTTTCAGCATAGTTGTCCTTGACCTTCTCATTTCCTCCATGGTTTTAACCACAGGCTGTTAATGATTCCCAAATCTCTTCAGTCTAGAGTTCTCTCAAGGGCTTGAAATCCATCTATTATATAACTACTTAACAGACACTTAGACCCAAAGTTCCCATAGTTTCATTCCTATTTATAATAATTAAACTTTTCCCCCTTCAATCCATTTTTCTTATTATGCTCCTTAAAAGGAGAAAAGGGGTCAGATGCTGGTGGCAAATGCCTGTAATCCTAGTTACTTAGGAGGCTGAGATCTGAGGATCATGGTTTGAAGCCAGCCCTAGCAGGAAAGTACATGAGACTATCTCAAATTAACCACCAAAAATGCTGGAAGTGGAGCTGTGACTCAAGTGATAGAGTACTAGCCTTGAGCAAAAAAACCTCAGAGAAAGTGCCCAGACCCCAAGTTCAAGCCCCAATAGGGCAAGGGGGAGAGGAGGTATTTATCAACCATCATGCACATCTAGTTCTAAAATATCTGTCACTTTAAGTCTCTAATTCCTTTTTTAAATTTTTATTAGCATACATTAGTTGTACAAGGCATTTATGTTCTTTTAAATAGAAGCACTAGTCTTCCAAATTACAAAGCTCTCTTCTTAGAAAATCCTTATGGAAGTGGAGCTGTGGCTCAAGTGGTAGAGCATCAGCCTTAAAAAGCAAAAGGACACCACCAATGCCCTGAGTTCAAGCTCCACTTCTGATGTGTGCACATACATACATGCGTGCATGTGAACACACACACACACACACACGAAAAAGAAAATTCTCAACATCTTAACAAATAAAAGATTAATATCCAGAATATGCAAAGAGCTAAAATATTAAACAGTAAAGGAATAACCCAGTGAATAAATGGGCAAATAAACTGGACAGTTCTCAGACAGACAAATAGCTGATAGATGAAAAACTGTTCAAAATCCTTAGCCATAAAGGAAATGCAAACCAAAACTTCACTAAGATTCCACCTTACCCAGTAAGAATGGTAGCTATCAAGAAAACGAACAAGGGCTGGGAAGGTGGCTCAGTGGTAGAGCGCTTGCCTTGCATGCATGAGGCCCTGGGTTCGCTTCCTCAGCACTACATAAGCAGAAAAAAAAAAGCCAGAAGTTGTGGTTCAAGTGGTAGAATGCTAGCCTTGAGCTGAAGAGCTGAGGGACAGCGCCCAGGCCGAGAGTTCAGGCCCCATGACCGGACCCCCCCCCCCAAAAAAAAAGAAAACGAACAACAAATTATGGAAAATAAAAGCTTAAAAAATGCTGAAAAAGGAATCCTCATACACTTCTGGTGGGAATGTAAACTAGTCTGACTACTGTGGAAATCAGTATGGAGTTTCCTCAAAAAACTAAAAATAGATCTACCTTGTAACCCCTCCTCACAACTCCTGGGCATATATCCAAAGTACATAACACCCACACACAATATTGTTTTTTTCTGCCAGTCCTGGGGCTTGGACTCAGGATCTGGGCACTGTCGTTCAGCTTCTTTTGTTCAAGGCTAGCCCTCTGTCACTTGAGCCACAGCCACTTCCGATGCACACAAAGATACACACATATAGGTTCCTTTACACACATATGTATGGTCACTGCCCACCTATTCAGTCTCATCGTCTTTCATTCCTGCCTCATCTTCTATATGTTTGTTCATCATTCTGCCTACAACGCCAAACCTCCCATGCTTTGTCCAACAAGTGAGCTTTGGTAAAAGTTTGGATTTTGCCCTTGGACCTTATACAACTCTACCACTTTGTATTATTTTCGTTCTTTCTCTTCCTTCCCCCCCTTCCTTCTCCTCTTTCATCCTTTTATCTCTCCCTCCCTCCCTTCTTTGTTGTTTTTTAAGATGGGATCTTTTTATGTAGCCTAGGTGAGTGCTAGGATTACTAGGGTGTCCCACCAAGCCCAGTAAAACGATGCGTTCCTTGAAAGCAAACATATATTGAGAAAATAACACAAAAAACTTAACAATGATGTCAGGCGCTGGTGGCTCACGCCTGTAATCCTAGCTACTCAGGAGACTGAGATCTGAGGGTCACAATTCAAAGCTAGGTAGGGTAGAAAAGTCTGTGAGACTCTTATCTCTAATAAACCATCAGAAAACTGCAAGTGATGCTGTGGCCCAAGTGGTACAGTGCTCACCTTGAGCTGAAGAGCTCAAGCCCAGAGTTCAAGCTCCACAAAAAAAAAAAAAAAAAAAAAACAACCACCAAAAACCCAACTAACAGTTGGGCGCCAGTGGCTCATGCCTGTAATCCTAGATCTGAGGATCCCAGTTCAAAGCCAGCCCGGGCTAGGAAAGTCCGTGAGACTCTTATCTCCAATAAATTTCTAGAAAACCGCAAGTGGTGCTATGGCTCAAGCGGTAGAGCGCTCTTGAGCTGAAGAGCTCAGGGACAGCGCCCACTCCCAGAGTTCAAGCCCCATGACCGACCAAAAAAACAAACCAACCAACTAACAGTGGGCATAGAAATTCACTTCACATATGTAACCTGTTCAATGAACAATTTTATGAAAAGACCTAATTTTTTTTTTTTTTTGTCATTTTGCTACCTAGCAATTGGTCCACATTCAGCATTGCCCAAGGCTCCTTACTCTGCCCAGGATACATCACCCTGATGACAGTTTAGGTGAGCAGGTTAGAAACCAAGTTTTTTTTTGTTGTTTGTTTTTGTTTTGGTACAGAAGGTGTGGAAGAACAAACACTCAAACTATATCTTGAAAACTCAGTACAAGGCAGAAAAAATCTGATAGGGCAAGTTATGCATTTTAGTCAAAATTGCAGACTGGCAAAGGTGAACTTAGTATTTGTTCTCTTAGAAGGAAGCTTCAAGGAATTCATGTGTTTCCTAGAGGAAATTGTGATAACTCAAATTCAAGTACACAAATCTATCACAGGAGAACTGCCTTATTAAGGGAGAAATTTATTAAGGGAGAGTTCAACATGGAAATTACCAAATGAGCAATCAGAAAGGTTAGAATAGTAAGTAAATAGGAGTCTCTAAGGTGATTGGTGACTACTTTAAAAAGATACTACTCTTTGGCCAAGGGATGGTGACTCATGCCTGTAATCCTAGCTACTCAGATAGGAAGGACTGACGTTTCAAAGTCAGCCTAGGCAGCAATGTCCATGATATTTCACCTCCAATTAGCCAGCAAACTGCTGGTCAAGTCAGTAGGTACCAGCTCTGAGTGAAAAGTTGAGTGACAGCTCGGGATCCTGAGTTCAAGCCCCAGTACTGACACACATGCACACTACGGACAAATCTATGCAGATTCAGACCAGAAGAAAAGTCTGCAGGGCTAAATCTTAGAAGTACTACAGAACAACCAGGCGGGCGGAAATTCATGGTACTGAGACGTTCCTTTCTGAAATCGAATTCAGGCTGATCCCGCTTTGCTTTAGCGATGCTGAGCTGAGCTTCGAACTCGGGCCCTGGCGCTGGAAGGCAGGTGCTCTCAACGCTTGAGCCAAGCTTCCAGTCAAGCACCAGTCCATCACTTTGTAAATAAACAGTTTCTGCTTTAGTAACTAACTAGGAAAGGGAAAAAAAAAGCTGTTTCTGCCGGGGCGGGGAGCGGACGCTATATCCCGGGTCTACCGAAAGGGTCTGGGGGCCCTGCTCGAGCAGGCGACCTCGTCCTCCCCTCCTCGGCCCGAGCCCAGGCGAGAGAGAGGGCGCGGAGCAGGGGGGGGTCAGCCCCAGCTCCAGAAAAGCTCGGCTGCGGTCAAGGGGCGGCGACGGCGTCCCGGGGCCCGCACGGCGGCGCGGCCATCCGGCCGCCTCCCCCCACCTCCCGGCTCGGGCCCCACTCACTCACATGCAGGCCCGCGCCCCCCCGGGCTCCTCCCGCCTCGGCGACCCCAGCCGCCCACTTAAGAGGGCTGGGCGGACAACTTCCGGCTTCCGGAAGAGCAACCCCGGAAGTAGCTTCCTGGCCGCAGCTCAGGCCTGGCGCCTCGCGGTAGCTCCGCCTTCCCGTCTTGCGCTTCCGCCCAAAACAGAACGCGCGCGAGGTCGCGTTGTGTGCGGAGGCGGGGAAGGGGGGGGGGGGAGCGGGAAAAAGGGGAAGGAACTCTCGCGATATCTGAAGAGATTGGGTTTCTGGGTCCCCCTGGCGTCCGAACAGGGGAGGCCTTTTTCTTTTTTACTTTTTTAATTTTTTTTTTTGTCGGTCGTGGGCCTGAACTCTGGGTCTGGGCGCTGTCCCTCAGCTCCTCAGCTCAAGGCTAGCACTCTACCACTTGAGCCACAGCGCCACTTCCAGCTTTTTCTGCTTATGTGGTGCTGAGGAATCGAACCCAGGGCCTCATGCATGCGAGGCAAGCGCTCTACCACTGAGCCACCTTCCCAGGCCCCCTTTTTCTTTTTTAATTCTGCGAAATTCTCCGTTGTTCTTCCAAAGTCTACCTCTTCTACCGACACTGATGCAGATTATGTAGCGTGAGCACACACCGCAGGAAGCAGCAAAGTAAGCCTTTCAACCTGTCTTCAGGACAGAGGCGTGAACTTTAGGTTTAAATAGAGGAAAACTGAGGTGGGGAGGGGTATACATAATTAAACAGTCTCCCGCAGAACGTGGCCTAGTTCTGGTTCTGAGCCCTGAGGGAGGTTAATACTTTATCATCCTTGTCTTGAGTCTTGGCAGGAGCTGATTTCTCTTGTTCCAGGGTGCAGCCTCACCAAGATAGATAGATAGATAGGTAGGTAGGTAGATAGATAGATATCTACATATGTAATTGTGCTTTTTTTTTTTTTTGGGGTCCGGTCATGGGGCCTGAACTCTGGGCCTGGGCACTGTCCCTCAGCTCTTCAGCTCAAGGCTAGCGCTCTGCCACTTGAGCCATAGTGCCACTTCTGGCTTTTTTTCTTTTTGCTTATGTGGTGCTGAGGAATCGAACCCAGGGCCTCATGCATGCAAGGCAAGCGCTCTACCACTGAGCCACCTTCCCAGCCCGTAATTGTGCTTATTTACAAGGCTCTACTGATCTCTTCTTTGGGGATGATTTCATTTCTCATGCAGATGTTACTGACCAATCCTGTCCTATCTGAAACCCAAAGGGATTTCAGGGGAGAGACTCAGAGTGCTGGAGTACTTGCAAAATGGAGGCAGGAATGCCAAGCTTTTATCCTGCTCAGTACCTGTTATAGTGATGCATATCTATAATCTTAGCACTCAGGATGCTAAGGCAGGGGACCACAAGTTCCAGGACAGCTTGAGTTTCATAGTGAGAATTTGACTAAAACAAAAACAAAAGCATGCATGAAGTACACTTGTTAGAGCCACAATTTAAAAACATCCCAAAAGTCCATTAATAGAATATATGAACACACTGCAGTGTTTTCAAGAAATAGAACAGTATACTGCACAGAAAGATTAAAAAACCCATTAGATACAGCAACTATGGGTATATTTAATAAGCATAATGTTAAGTAAAAGAAGATGCAAAATACCTTATGACTTTATATAAAATTCAACTGGGGAAATCAACCTATGATATTAGAAGGTAGAAAGTCTGGGAAGGCTGGTACAAGGCTTTAAGGGCTTAGAAATTCACTTATCTTTGTACCAATCCTAGGGCTTGACGTCAGGACCTTAAGCTCTTGCTTAGCTTTTATTTTCACTCAGAGTTGATGCTTTACCACTTGAACCACATCTCCAACCGCCACCACTGGCTTTTTGGTGGTTAAAGATTTTTTTTTTAAGTCTCTCCAGTTTACCTTGACTGGCTTTGGACTGAGATTACAGTATGAGCCACCTACACCTGGCTCAACATTTTGTTTTGATTTGATGCCTGCTATACAGCTGGGTTTACTGTGCAGGAGTTCATTGAACCAGTACACTTAGGACCTGTCCACTTTTCTAAATGTCCATCATACTTCAATTTAACTGTTTTATTACAGAGGATCCAGATGAAGAACAGGGCTAGGTCAGTTAGACAAGCACTCTACCACTACATCCCCATACTCTTTTTAGGGGTGGGGGAAATTGTGGAGGATTAATTATCTAGACATGATTAAATCATTGACCACTGTGGATCAGTTTCACTGTTGGAAAACCCAATCCACTTTCACACTTGGGTTGTTTTAGTTACCAGTCCTCAGCCTGAAGCTACCCCAGGTCTGCAAGCCATCCATCATTAATATAATTAGTATAGCTGGTGGCCAAAGCCTGTAACTGTAGCCACGAGGGAGGCTGAGATTTGAGGATCAAGGTTCCAAGCCCAAATCAGGCAGAAAAGTCCTTGAGACTCATCTCCAATCACCAGAAAAAAAGATGAAAGTGGAAGTAGTATTACTAAGGTAGTAGAGTGCCAGTCTTGAATGAAAAAGCGAAGGGAGGGGGGGGGGGGAAACAGTGCCTAGGCCCTGAATTCAAGTCCCAGGATCAGCACCAAGCACGCGCGCACACACGCATCATTACTGCCCCAGACAGCACATACTTTAAGAGTTGTATGCAGTAGGGGGCTGGGAAAGTGGCTCAGCAGTAGAGTGCTTGCCTTGCATGCATGAAGCCCTGGGTTCAATTCCTCAACACCACATACACAGCAGAAGCTGGAAGTGGTGCTGTGGCTCAAGTGGTAGAGTTCTATCTTTGAGCTGAAGAACTCAGGGACAGCGCCCAGGCCTAGATAGAGTTCAAGCCCCATGACCAACCAAAAAAAAAAAAGAGTTGTACGCAGGAGATGGAGGGTGCAGAGTTGAGGAGAGGTTTTTCCAAAGAAACTCTGATAAAGAAAAGGCCTTTCTTAGGTTTCTAACGCTTCCATTCCTACACAAATTGTGGGGCTGATTTTTTAAATTTGAATTGAGGCCCTCCCTCCAATCAGAATGAAGATCTGGTGGCTGTTCCCGCCTCCCTAACTAAACAAACCAATCCTATCGTCCGGGACATGGCGCCAAAACACCTCTCCTAGATCTTGCGCTCTTCACGGCCCAAGAGCCCTGACGGTTTTCGTCTCGCGCCTCACTTCCCGGCCTTAGCAGAAAGGTCCTTCCACTTCCTGTCCTGGCGCCCCCCTCCCTCCCCCCACCCCCGCCCCCAAATCCTGAAGTCGCCAGGATTGAAAGTCGGACGGCGGGGACCGGAAGTGTGCGCGGCGGAGGCGGGTCCCCCGCGAACGGCGCCGGAAGTGGCGGCTGCTGACTGAGCTCGGGCCCGGTCATGGCGGCAGTTCCCCCCGACACCTGGCAGCCGCCCACCGTGTACTTGGAGACCAGGTGAGCGGGAGGGCCGGGCCCCGGGCTGAGCCGGCGGGGCGATGAGGAGCCTGGGCCGGGCTCCCCGCGCGCCGCTGCAGTGCCGGGGCTGCACGTGGCGGAGCGCGGGCGGCGGCCGAGGGAGCCGCACGGCCGGCGCGCGTCCTTCCTCCGCTCCTTCATTCACGCACTCATGCACTCACCCAGCGGGCGGATGCGGGTTCGTAGGTAGCCCGCCCGGGTCAACCAACCACTGTGCCCATGGGAGGAGGAGCCGGGCGCCGGTGGCCCCCGCCTGTCATCCTAGCTACTCCGGAGACTGAGATCCTGAGGATCGCGGTTCGAAGCCAGCCTGGGCAGGAGAGTCCGTGAGACGCTTATCTCCAATTAGCCAATAATAATTAAAAAACAAACAAACAGCAACGCTCTCGGGTTTTAGCAGCAGTGTCACATTGTAAGGACTAAATGCCTGGCGCTGGCTCAGGGGAGGGAACCCTGCTCGGCCCGCCGCACCTGCTGTGTGTTTATCCCCAGCCGTTCCCATGCTCCTTCGGAAGAAGCTCACGGTGATCTTTCTCGAAGAAAGGCAAAAAGGAGCCTTTTTTAAGGTTTTAATTTCTTGCTGCTGTATACAGAATAAAGTTGATAGGTGAACGCGCTCCCCTTCCCCATCCAGCCCTTGCTGTAACCTCATCCGCCGCCAGGGGCCAGCCAAGGTCTCTGCCTGGCTTTCTGTTCTTGCTCTCGATGCTTTTAACCCGAGGCCTAGTCCCCCCCCCCGCCCTCCCCCCCCCCCTCCTGTCTATAGTTGCTCCCGTTGTTCTTTGCTCCTAGACTCCTGTGGCAAAAGTCTACCCTTTAGACTCCCAACTTTGAATTCCCTCGTATTTTCTTTTTCTTATTTATTTTTGCTAGCCCTGGGGCTTGAACTCAGGGCCTGGGCACTGACCCTGAGCTTCTTTTGCTCAAGGTTAGCGCTCTACCACTTGAGCCACAACGCCACTTCTGGCTTGTTCTGTGTACGTGGTACTGAGGAATGGAACCCAGGGCTTCATGCATGCTAGGCAAGCACTCTACCACAAAGCCACATTTCCAGCCTTGTATTTTCTTAAATTCCAAAACAAGTTGGAAGTTAAATCTAGGCTTACGTACATAGCGCGGGAAAGCCCCCTCCCTGAAAACACTCAAGTGGCTTATTGAGAGGACTGGCTACATTTTGTTCTCTGTACATGTAAATATCTCTTAATTTCTTGAGTTTTATCTCTTAACTAAATGGAGATCACAGGATATGTACTTTTCTGTGATTTGTCTCCACCCAAGTATTTTGTTGCATCTTGTACAGTTTGTATCCTAATTTCGGTTTGTATTCTAATTTTTTTTTCTTGGTCCAAGACCAGAACTTGAACTCGGGACCTGCAGCTGCTTTTGCTCATTGACTAGCATTCTACTAACTGAGCCACATCTTTTTTCTTTTTCAAGGACACATAAATTGCTTCTGTTTTTTTATTTTGACAAATACTAGAATGAACACCCTGTCATAGATGTATTATGTCTTCAAGCAGTGTGTGTGTGTGTGTATATGTGTGTGTGTATGCGTGTGTGTGTGTGTGTGTGTGTGCATGCGTGCAGGCATGCAGGCAAGGGCAAGCTTGGGCCAGCCCTAGGGCATGAACTCAGGGCTTGGGTGTTGTCCCTTAGCTTGTTTGCTCAGTTAGTGCTCTGTCACTTGAGCAG